AAATGCTTCATCGCACACTGTTATTCAAAACAGGAACAGTGCCTTAAATTCACGTACGTGCCGTCTTTGCTGAGACTGCTTTCCGGCACTTTATTCTTTTTTTTCACAATAGAGAATGCGAAGTGACGGATGTAGAACATTAATCGCGTCTTGTCTTTCATGCAGAGAATGGCGTACTTCAGCGGTTCCTGTTTGTGTTAGATTCGTGTTTGATCCCCTATCTGATGTGCCCTGAAAGCTTTTGAGTCTATTTGTGATTCACAAGGGGAAGGGGTGGTATTTCATTCATTCAAAATCGCAAAAAGGGGATTAAGCAACATTACATGGACTATTGAAAAAAAATATTAACTTTGTGTAAATTGTCAGAAACGCTGAATGCAAAAGCCTGAGATACGGTTATTTCAATATCTAATGGGAAGTCGACGTACAATTTTTCAGCTTAGCTTCTTTAGCACCAAATATTTTAGCGCTTTTGACAGAAGCTTCCACTCCAACCGCTACAAGAATGTAAATCTCGACTCATTACATCCCTCTTCTCCCATCCCTTTGGATTTGTTAACCAGCAATTCGATCTCAATCAAAGGATTTAGTGATACTGCCTGCTGTAAGGAGAAAGGAGCTCAGTGATATTATTATTTCACAAATACAGCTGTATTGTGGTCTCCATTGTCTTGCTAACAGGAGAGGATTAACTCTTAAATTTTCCCTTTCTATTAACATAAGTAAAACAATAATAAGAATTAGTTTATCCGGAGTTCATCTCAAATTAACAAAATAAAGTTAAAAATATAGATTCCATGGGAGAATTTTCCCTTGAACTTTAGAACTTAATCTTTTTCCTTTTTTGATGTTTTCCTCTAAGGACGCTATTGCCCTTGACCGCTGTTTTCAATGATGAAATTGAGAAATCATTCAAACTGAACACCTGTATCAACAAGTAATATTTCCCTTTTAATGCCAGTGTATTAATTTAGTCCCTGAATTTAACAGAAAAAAATTTGCACAATAATATAGGTATAGACTACTTGTTAATACGATGTTATCTGAAAGTAACAGATCTTAATCATCTCGGCTGATGTAAAACAGCAAACAGAGGGCACGTACGAGATATTTCATTTCGAAAAACGATGGTGGATCTTGGTTTATGTGGTCTCTTTGTATGTGTTATTTTGTTTCTTACCCCCGCAGTAATCTACATAACTCTTGGGTTAACCTGCTCTGTTGAACACGCTCCGAGTGAATTTTGCTGGAATGTTACTCAACAAACGGCAGTTGTGTTAATAGCTTTCGGATTTGTGTTCTTCATTTTTGGGTTAATCACCTGTGTCTTTACTATGGTGATTTGGAACACAAGTGGAAACTCAAGCGACGAATCTTGCGAGGACGAAGACAAAGAGAGGATGTCTGACTTTGTTTGAGTGCTTGGCTGCCGAAACCTTCGGCCTTACGATGTTAATCTGGAAATTGACCGCCGGTGCAATAAACTTTGGTGGGAAAAAAGCTAAGGAAAATTTGGACTTGGTTTATGTGCTTCATAGCCTTGTGTTGGGAAATCATTTTGAAAACAAACCAACACTGTTTTCTAGCTAGGCTCCGAGGAGAGTTGAAAATGGCGCCTGTCCGTTCATTTTCTGTGGTTAAAGAACTCGTTAAAAGCGAGGAAGAAATATACATGGTGACGAAAAAACCAAGAGACCTGAATATCTTTATTCAGTAAAACATGTTCCTCGAGCAGACACCATAAAACTTTGTATTTTTAATTCGTACTAAAAATTCGTAGGTAACTTGACAACGTGAAATCTCAACATTTTGCGCGTTTCTGAGATGGGGAACACGCCAACTGTATTTTCGTGATAATTTTTGAAAACAAGGCGGCCTTTTTTGTCTGGCCACTCACATGCAGGAAGCATTAGGACAGTGAAATTTTTAGACAAATAACCTTCGCATTTCCGATGAGACGAACCCGAGGGAAATTTTTTTTTTCATAATTACAGAAACAAAGAGTAGAACTTTCCTTTTATTACTTTGACCATCAGCAAATGTAACGCCGTTTAACACATTAAATGGATCTTGCTCTAGGCAAATTTTGAAAACATCGAGGTTTGCATATGATGTACGATGATCGACGTTTTCTTCAAACTAAAAAAATACCTTTAATTACAGTCATATTGATAAAATTTAACAAAACAATAGCTCACGGACTTAGGCTATGATAGTTGTTTAAGTTATTCCAGTGTCGCCTGATATTACACGTTGCATTTATTTATAATTATATTTAAGATATGTTCTTCTTTTGCATCGATACAACATTTCAAAACGTCTCTAAGATAAGTAACAGGTTTCCACCAAAATTGAGCAGATACGAATACGTTTCACACTATAATAAATAAATTCTTTGAAAATGACATCTCAATGAAAGAGGGGTCAATTTCGACCGCTCTCATTACTATTAAAAATAAACTTAATTTTTATGCAACATCATTAGAGCCGATAAGTAAAAGATTTTTTAAAGACAGTTAAAATTTTCTGTATGCAATCCATAAACACACGTAGTCCATTATAAGGTCTTGTTCTTTCCAACAAAGGATACAGACACTTAAAATATTGATTCAAGTACTGTCTAATTTCCTCTCATTGTCTTACCAACCTTGCTTTGTTCCAATTTTGAAACTTTTATTTAACAATCATATTTTCAGTGTTCTTGACTCCAGCACTGCGGTAATTCGAGTAATTTCGCGTTGACGCTCTGCCAGCGGCTACGATGATATCAAATTTTAAAAGCCCCCCAAAAACTGTTGCACTGATTATTAACCCTACTGTTGACGAGATCTCAAATTAAACTTGTCGATCCTTTGGTTGAAAGAAAATTTGATCAATTGTAATTATTTCCCAACAATGAATCCGATTTAGTTTAGGTAGTTAACTTAGATAGTTTAATTAGTTTAATCTTTATCACTGACTTGCCATGGACTAGTTATTGCGGGTCAGACAATCCAATATTAATATTCTGAACTGTAATTAAAGTGTGAAACAAAGTGCCAAAAATAAAAAATAAAAAATTAACAAAGAGGAAAGTCCCTTACGTCACGTATCCCATCAGGCCATAGCTCATCCCGGTTTCCTGAGCATAAAACGATTAGACATTTTACTACTCTCCTGGGATGGGATGGGATGCCAGTCCTCGCCCTGCTACTTCCCCCCTTTCCCTACAGTTGGCCGGGACCATTATCATATACTCCCGAGTGGCATTGCGAGAGTAAAATAAGCGTCTTTCCCAAGTACACAACACAATGACCTGGTTCAAGTCTCGCACCTAGAGCTCTCGACACATAGTCTAGCGTGCTAATCCCTACGCCACCGCGTCTCCATAAACCATTGTGAATAAAGCTATTTAATTTCAAGGCTAGCACTTTGGTTAAGAGCCAATATGAAATCTAGATTTGCTCCGGCAGAATCTTTACGGGGCAATTTAGCTGGAGAGAAACCTCAACGTTTGCAAACAGTTGCGCAACTTACATTAGAGCTGGAGCTTTCTGAACACTAACTTATCCGTGTGGACAAAAGATTACGTCACAAGTCAACTTCTGACGCCATACAATTCGTTTTTTAAAGAGCCAGATTGCGCAGAAGTTACCATGGAAACCAATCAAAACAAACTGAACTGAACTCTGTTGACTTGCTTTGAGTACACTAACGTTGAGTGTAAGGACAACATTCCTGTCACTAGGAATAAGATTGCTTCAGGTACTCAACACTCGAAGTAACACTTCCATAAATGCGTGTGTGATGGCGAGTTCTTATAAATCTTAGTATGACTGGTTGTGTGCTCGTAACAAACAAAAATTAACAGTTATCTGGGTCAGTGAACCTTTTCAAATTACACTTTTTGACCATTACGTGCACAAACTTGGTGAGCTGTATAAGATTAGCATTCCTACGGAATCCATGGCCCGGAATTTTCACAACTCCAGCCAATTCCTCACATATACCATGAACTTCAAAATCCGATTTTTTGGAACATCAAGTTTTCTCTCGAAAGCTTATCTACGTTTCTGTTAAAAGAGTAAATAGCTGCTTTCCTATTGCCATTGCTGTTGCATTTTATTTTACGCGAGGCCTAAAAGGAAAATACACTTGCTTAAGAGAAAAATTTTAACTCTTTTCATCATGCAGTAGTGTTTTTTCGCAGATTCCTCGCTCTGCTGTATGGCTACTAAGAGCGTTTAGCTAGTGCAGAGTCGTCAACACCCAGCTCTCACTACTGAATTTGACTTCAAAATTAGTGAGAACGAAAGGCTGAAAGATCGGAAATACACTAAGCAAAAAAGATGCCAGGATTACAAACATTTTTTTCTAGTTCCAATTGCTATTAAGAGTACACCACATAATACACCTTAAAGTCTGTCACTCCCGCACTTTCCGCTAATAAATAAAGCGTTTATTACAAAGAGTAAAACAAAGAGGTTTCATAATAAAAATCTATGGAATGATTTGAATAGATTTCTAGCAACCACATATGTGACAAATGGAAACCCAAACTAGCACGCAATTAATCAACTTATCCTAAGACGCGGTGGTAATTGCTAACAACAAAGAGCTAATTCTTTGATACGCTTACTTAAACAAACCTGGCGAATCGCGCAAAAACGCTGTTTCTAGAAGCGTCAATGCAACTCTGATCTCTATCAGTTTGGTTCGAGTCATTGTTTGACAAAGTTTGACGCTCTAAAGTGCTTACGTGTTTAAAGTTAATCCGACTGTAATCTCGTTAATCCACAGGTGGTTGTAAATAAGACTACTGACACCTTTAGTATCGTGCTTGGCAAAGCCAATTATTAAGAAACCTTTGTCCGGAGTCATTCGATGTTTTAGAGTTGATAAAGAAAATTGACACATGCAAACATACGTGTTCAGATGTTTGATTTGATTGCACTACAAACCACGTCAAGACATTCGCTTATGTAAATTTCTATTCATTAACGACAACGGTTAGTGTTAGCTGTGATACCAAGAAATGGTGTCGAAAGGAAACGATCATTTAGCACCCTGAAGTACTAGACATTGAGGTACTTGAAAAAACACTAAACACCCACTTCGAGCCTTTGATCAGTTTACAATCAAACACAAGCAAATTGTTTCAAGGTAGGTTTTATTTTTATGTACACTTCAGTGGTCTTTCGAAAATGGTATTCAATATTAATATGACACGAAAAAATTCAAATTGATCAGTAACTTCACCGCTATTTTGACATAGAGAGGTAACCCTCTATCTAATGAGAACATCACATCATATGTGTTTGCATCCTCTGAGCGAGGACGTCTAGATTGACTTGATTAGCCCTTTTATCGTTGCCTTCGCCTGCAATAGAGCTTTTTCACAGAGTATGACGGCTCTTTACTAGAAAATTCCGGAGTAACTTAGGTGGTGAAAGTCTAGTTTTTTTCTCCCACTTACTTCGAAGTCACACTACAAGAGTAAGGCAGATTATGTTCAGAGCATTTCTCTCGGAAAATAAAAATTCCGAATCCCTTGTAATTCTTCATAATCTGTTTAACGTCCGAGTGGTGTAGTAAGGATTTACATTAAACGAGAACAATCAGAACAATCTTGTTTAGGCGATGGCTGATAGGTTCAGTTGTTAAGGTCAACAGACTAAAAACAGAAGGATGTTGATGTTGTTTGAGCTTTATTTCAGGGAAACTCACATTTTTCGGTGTAGAAGATGTAAGAAGTTTTAAACTAGTCTAGAACAGCTTCCCACCATTTAGGCGTGCATACTTGTATTTGGGATCGAAACAAACACAGTTTCCTCTTTTCTTTATTCTCTTTTGTGTAATCTTCATCGAATTAATGAGTTTTTCAAACTCAAGTAATTAACGAGTTTTAGAGGTGATGAAAAAGTGGCTTTTCGTTTCTTTTGGGCTAGCTGAGTAGTATAAGCACAGAGTTTCACCGGTATTACCACTTCGAGATCCTTCGCTTTCCTAGGGAGCTCTTTGAGCAAATTGACAACTCTTCGTTCTTCAAAGAGTCCGAATGTTCGCGTTCATTAGACGGCATCTCTTGGTATATGAGTCTTTAGCTGGGAGTGGGAATGTCATCGCTGTATAATTGAATTTTAAGGACTGAAAAGTCATGAGTTATGTACATCTGGCACATCTACAAAAGAACACGGCGCAAGAGAATAGCTGTTTGAAGACCAACATATATAAGCTGTCTATAACAGGTTCTGTTACCTTAAAAGATATTTCTTCAGGATTAGAACTGAAGTTCGCATTCCTTGTACCTCAGTGATCAACACATACAATTGACGTAGCATATCAATTGAGAATAAATTCTACCTTAATTGGCTGTTTTCTTCCTTTTGGTACGTGTCCTGTTTACAAATATTCATGTAATCAAAAGCGATTCATAAGAATCGTATTTTTTGTCATTTCCTGAACACTATAAATGAGAGTCAAAGACATATGAAGTCGCTATATCACATCGTGAAGGGTTGAACACCTTTTAAAAAGAGGCGAATCACTTTGACATTTCCTCAGGACGTTTGAGTAAATCTTGCGGGAAAATCCTTCTTAGGAGTAAAAGAAAAGGTCTCCGTTTGAGTTCACCACTAAAAAAGAGGAAGACTAAAACGAGACATTTTTACAGTGACACTTAACTAGCTGTAGCATTACATCATGTGTTTCAATTTCCCTATTAGGCCTAGGTGCATCTTAAAAACAAACATGGAAAGTTTATTCATTTACACTTTACACCTCTCCCTCCACCCCAACTCAATTTTTTCCTTCATATCTCGTGAGCTACATTTAAGCAAAAGTTCCCCGAAAAATCCCCGCCTACGCTCTACACTTGCCGAGCACGATTTAAACATCCGACGAAAAGGTCTCGGAGGACAACGAACAATAGCGTCATTTTATTAAAGTGAATCAAACCTTAACAATAGACAATTCTATTTTTTGTTCTGTGAGGGTCTGTATTGGAATATAGTCAATTTATTATCTTCTATTCAAATTTACGTTTCTCTCAAAAGTTAATTAAGTTCTTAATCTCTTCTTTTCAAATTTATGCTTATCTAAAAATCTCATTTAACATGTACGTTCACTTGTGTGGACATATTCTTAACCGTATTTTTCTTTTCGTTTGTATCTTTCTCAAAAGATTACGCAATGAATCTGATCTTCATCACAGTTACTGTCGTCATCTGCTGTGCCACCCTCACGAAAGCTTTTAACACAACAAACTCCACCAACTCCAGCCTCCAAACAAATAGCACAAATAACAACACAACACCACTTACGACACTGTATATTGGAGCGTTTTTTGACCTCACAGACAAAAACGGCTATGGAGCTTTACCAATGGCACTTCAGGCCATAGAGGAAATCAATAACAACCCAAGTGTGTTGCCAGGGTACCAACTTGAGTTGGTTGTCAAATCAACACAGGTAAAGCGCAAAAATATCTAAGATAAAGTTGTTGTTGCGTCGATATAGACAGTCTAGTATACACTTGATCGCAAAAACTTTGACTCCTAAAAAACGTTGGCAATGAACGATGAGGCTCAACGGTTTTAATAGTACATATGTACATGATTTATACAATTTGTTGCACGGGGTAAATGATGAAAACCATCCACGCCTTCTTAATAGATAAAATTGATTTTATAACTGTGCAAACATTTCCCATAAAGCCATTCGGACCCATCGTTTATGGATTAAACAGGTAGCTATTTTCCATGCACTTCAATTACATAATTTTCGGATCACGATCCTTTATTTTTCCAAAAGAATCTAAAAATTGTCTTATGCTAAACCAAAGCATTCAAATCTTTGTACTGCAACTCCCTTTTTAACTGCAAGCTGAACATTTACTTATAAATCTGTCTGTCTTTGATTGTGGTTACAAAAAGTCTCATAATACCCTCTGACACGTTTGCATATTCGCATCAACTGTTTCCTGAAAATGCTTTGATTCTTTGCTGACAAGTCATTAGTAAATCGCTTTTGAGAGTTGAATGGTGATATTTCTCATTGCTGCCTTGATCATTATTTTAGGAAGGAAAAAGTAAAAGGATTACGGAGAGAAAACTTCAGCTTGATCATAAAACAAACACTGCCGTGTATTTTATGATCCTACACTACAAGAAAAAATCAAAATCTTTTTTCAAGCTTGGGAAAGATCGATTTTAAATTTATAAGGGAAAGCTGTTAAGTATTGCTTACATGCATGTCCGTGAATGAAGTAATAAAGTGGTAATCACGCAAGCATATTTCACACTCGCTAAATCGAGGATTTTGTTTGCCAAAGGGAAGTTTCGGAATTGGACAGAAAGCTTTCAACGAATTTCTGAACACAGGACCGACCAAAATCATGTTACTGGGACCGGGGGAAGATTCCTTGGCCAAATCTATAGCTGCGTACTCTGGAATACCGGATATCAACCTCCTCCAGGTCTGTATGTAACAATAAATTTTACTTTATTTTGATCTAACGTGCTGTATCTAGTTAGGATTGTGGAAAATGACACTGCCGTTTAGATGGTGAGTAACTAGAGTACTGTAATTCAGGCGTCATCTTGAATTGAGGAATGGTGACTGAAAACGGTGAAACATTTGTCAAGAGCTCGAGACAACCAATATGGTCCCCTGTGAAAGGGAGTACCTCTTATCATACCTCAAAGCTAATAAGGTACTTGTTTTTACCTCAATTCGCAGTTTTCCTATGGAACAAGCGATCTTGAGCTTGAAAACAGGAGAGACTTGTACCCAAACTTTTTTCGGACAAAAACATCTCCCACTTCATTAGATGTACCAAGAATAAAATTTATCAAAGAGTATGGATGGGACGAAGTTGGAATTATTTATGGAGACAGCGAGAGGTATTTTCAGGTAAATATGCAAAAACTGTGTCCTTAAACAAGGCATTTGGCCTTCAATGCACCTCTCTCCACCCTGCTGAAGTATAAAAATAGAAATGAAGATTGGATTTAAGAACTTTCACTTTACAGCATTAGAAGTACATATGATAGATCGCGGATCGAATATTGAATTTTCATAACATCTTCATTGTAAGTAGGCAAATGAACTGTTATCGTACCATATTTTTTCTAGCTTTCCAATCAACTGGCAGGCTCATTAAAGGGAAGCAAAATAAAAGTTTTAGCAGAAGTACGGTTACAAGCTAATGATCCTACACGGGCTATCCGAACGATGAAGGTAAGAGGCAAAATTGTCGAGTCTAATCGGTGGAGAATATCAGCTCTGCATTATCTGGGAGTATTATGCAAATTTATCTTCATTTTTTAACAAGGCTAGGTTTTCCTCAACTCTAATAAAAACTTCAGATGCAAAAATCTAAACAAAAGAAAAACCCATGGCTATGGTTCATGTTGTGGGATTTAACGATTTTTCCGGAAGTGGGCAATTTTCTCTTCAAGAGAGAGTTAAAAATTCATTGCTGCTGAATTTATAAAGAAAGTTTCGACGTAAAGATATTTCTTAACGAAATATGTCACACAAATGTCCATTGTTCTCTCAGGATAGAGGAATTCACGTTATTCTTGGCATGTTTTCGCTTGATTCCACTGCACGAAAAATGTTTTGCGAGGTAAGTCTAAATTCGTTATGTAAACATTTGACAGGTTCCTACACTTGGCTTTTACTTTTCCCCCACCTATTATTAATGCCCTCCTTCTTGAATTCCCATTCCGTCCCCGGACGAAAAAAAGCGCGAAAGTCAACCACATGTAGCTCCGATTTTAATTTAGTCAAGTTTGCTTGATACGTCGCTGATAGATGCCGCCACAAATCAGTATATCAGGATCAAAGTGATAAATCTTTACAGGGTAATTGATTTGGTATTATTAGCTGAATTGATAACGTAAATTGGCCACCGTAAAGAGTTTCAAAGCTGACGTTTCGAGTGTTAGCCCTTCGTCACAGCAAAAAACGAAACGTCATCTCTGAAACTCTTTACGGTGGCCAATTTACGTTATCGACTCAGTTGATATTACCAAATTACACTGTTATACTCTCCCGCCGACGCAGCACCACAGTTTCTTTAGAAACCTGCACCTTTTATTCATTGATCAATCCTCACGTCAACTATAATTGATTAATCAAAGGTCGTAATACATGTAACGAAATGTAAACCAATCTGAGCCCAGAATCGATTCAATGGGTCTTAAAACTCTGAATCACGTTTTTGGCACAAAACAATAAAATCTCAACTTGTTATCTGATCGCCGATATTCACGAGACTGCGGTGCCTGTTAAACGTCAAATTCAAACTGTCGGTCTGCACAATTGCAGAGTGAAGGAGTGCGAATAATGAGAGTTTTAATCTATATTAGGTTATAAGGGGATTGTTAACTGGTTTACAGGAAGAAAAAAATTAAAAACGTGTCACTACATAGTAAAAGTGAGTGCAAAGTTTTTAATTTGTGCTTTATGTGAAAAAACTTCCCATGAAATGGTCTTTCGAAGGGGAAGCCGCGGCTTCAGTGAAAACTTAGCGGTAATTTGACTGATATGTTCTTCCCATGACTCGCAGGCTCATCGTGCACGGATGTACGGTCCACATTATGTCTGGATTCTTACAAACAGCAAAAATAACAACTGGTGGATACCGAAAAAAGGAGAAAGCATCGCTTGTTCGGACTTGGAAATGAAATGTCAAATACAGAACCACTTTTCATTTTATCATACTAACGTAGTGTCATTGCAAAGAACCTTTTACTCCTATGCCAAAAAGGTATGTGATTAAGCTGATAATTTTTATTATTAATTTTTTTGCAATACAAACAATAACTCAAGTTATATCACATACCCTGACCAATCAAAGACACACTTGAATTTCAGTAATTATAAAACTGATACTATTACCCCTCACCCCCTAGCCCCCACCAACCCCCCACCTACCCCCCTACCCCCCACCTACCCCTTCCTTCTCTTTCCAGGAACATGATCTAACTTTACCTGCTCTTAGGTTATCTGCCGCTGCCAAATACAGTTATTACAGAACACAGTTTTTAAGATTACTTGTCATTGATTATTAATAGCCCACGAGCAAACTATATGTGATACGTGCTGCGGCTCTGAGGGTAAAGTCGTAAAAAGATAAAAGTTGGCGAGGGAGGCCACGATCCAAACTGGGTCGCTTCGATAGCTGGGTAGTCATTCACAGCATGCACATTTCCTTTTCAAATTTCTATGAGCGTGTCAATTTGTTTTGTACGGTCTATTTTACAGAACAAGAGTCAAATAATCAACGATTATCGAGCAAGAGTGGACAATCACAACGATACATCAAACCGAAGTGATCAGTACTTACATGTTTATGATGCACTGTGGTCGATCGGTTTTGTGCTGCACAACTCTAGACAAGAGATCAAAACGCAAGGAAAAACTCTGGAAAATCTGACATACGGCGATGCTAATGCAACAGACGTGTTTCGGAAGTGGGCATTAGATCTGGACTTTAAGAGCCCGAACATAGGGGTAAGAGAAATGGGAGAAGTGAAATGGGCTTGTGAAGTTGTGGTCCAGGTTCAAGCCCTTCACCCTGCCACTCATTGTATAGTCAACTCGTCTGCCTCCTGTCAGTTAGGAACTGTTAACACTTTGTTTATTCATTCATTTGTATCGGTCCTGAAAAGCCACATTGGGTGAGTGGTCAATTAAATCTAAACGCATAGATACAAACAATATTTTCGTAAATTGCAGACCAGAGAGTTAAGTACATAATAAGTGTAATTATGATACAATAAATATTGGCTGATTTAGAGTGGTCTAACGGGTAAAAACCCAAACAAATTGATTTGAGAATGAATAGACTTGACAACATACATACATTTTTTAGGGTGAAAGGGGAGGCACCAAATGCTTAATTTACTTTATAGAGGAAAAATTTGGAAGATATCAAGTTAGAGATAAATATAAAACTTAAATAATTTTGGAAAATTATGTTAATGAACTTATGGTTTTTTGTTGGCAGACAAGAGTAAGATATTACCCCAATGGAAACAGACGAAACGGAATTATCATCAAACAGATTGTAATAGAAGGTACTTCACGACTAATGTTCTCTTTTACAACTGTTTATTGATTCAGAAATCAAGCAAAGCATGCATTATGATTTCAAGACACATTTAGGTCGCAGTGGGAGAATAAGTTACCACGCTTTCTGGCAAAGTGCTTCAAACATACATCATTGTATATCAAATATAAGAACGTTGCACTTCGGATCAGGATAGAAGGTTTTTAAAAAAGTTTAGGAGATATTTGAGCTTTTACCAACAGAAAAATTGACCCAAAGAATCTTTATGCTTTGCCTCCAAAATTGGTTGTTCAGTGGCAGTGTCATTTTTACGATCGTTGATAGATTTAATTTGCACTCCATAAAGATCAATCTTGCTCGCCTTGCAATATCGAGGCTAGTTAACAAAGATAATTCTGACCGAGTTGTTTCAATTTTTGGTATTTAGATGGTATTTTCAAGACAGTAACAGGTGGAACATTTGACGTGAAAACGGAAGTCCTCAAAGCGTCAACAGAAATACACTGGTTTGGTGAGTTTACAACCACGTAGCACTTATTTTACAAAAATATTCCCACGGTACGTATGAATGTTCCATTTTTGGGCTCTTGGTCTTATCTGGCTGGAGTTTTTCCTCCCACGGTGCCTCTCTAGGAGTTTGAATGTGTACCGGCAAACTGTTAGCAGCCCTGACTCTAATTCGATTCAACTGGGAGAGGCTATTAATGAACTAAGTTCTGACCGAGATGCCCCCCTCCCCCATCAAGGTTCAAGTTTTTATATCATCCATAATACCGTGTAGATGAGAACCGGCGAGCTGTCAAAGAGCCTTGATACATAATCGATTTCGACTGATCAGGGAGGGGGGTATTCGACTACGTTTTTTTAAGGGGACGCATCCCCCTTCCCCAGTCCGAGCTCTTTATCTATCGCCTTTGACACCTTTTCCCTAGTCTACGCAAAGCTTTCCTTAATTACAGCTTTTCAAACGTTTGCGTTCGATCCGATGACATTCAAATTCAATTGACAACCGTATGTTTGAATATTCTATTAGACAGCTGGCCAAGTCAATGTTTCAATTCAGGATCTTGTTCAAAACCTTTCTTTTCAGCTGGCACACCTTATACCAAGACGACAGAGACGTACATCTACCGTACAATCGACGAGACGTTATTTTTTGTCATAATTGCATTCGCGTCACTTGGAATCGTTTATGGTCTAATCTGCCTTTTAACACTGGTGTTAAACTTCAAGAAGAAGTACGTATACTACTGAACAGTGATAAAAAATCAGTTTGAAACCCGTAATCCTAAGTGAATTGAGATTACTCGGCAATTACTGACGAATCCTTAGACTGAGGTGAGAGTGTAAAAAGGCGAAAATGACGACTTATTATCATTGAAATTACATCTATTTTGCATAGAAAAGCTTTCACAGTCTGACTTATTTTGAACGGAACAGTTTTTGTAATGGAAAATATTTAATTTAGAAGACACAAATTGAAAAAAAATAAAATAGCTACATCACCCACCCAAGTTGAAGGAGGGGAAGGGAACATACCCAAGGCAATTTTGTTTTTCGGCTTAAGGTCTAAATACATCTGTAATACAGCGCCCATTCTCCCCTCTAATAACATGGGATTGCTATTCGATTTCATACCGACCAAATGTTAACATCAAATTAACAACACTTCCTCTAACAAAGTTCGAAGCAAATTTTGATCGCTCGCTTACCTTACTTTTGAGAGCTGGAAAACTGTGTTGCTTTTCAGACTTGTAAAAAATTCTGGTCCAGTGATCAGCCTTCTCATCATTCTGGGATGTCTTCTGAACTACGTCACTGTAATTCTTTATGGCTTTGACTACGCACGCGTATCCCCAGATGTCGTCACACGCCTATGCAGGGTGAGTAAATAAACAGGCAGAACTTCGAAATACAAATCCCCTCCCCCCCCAAATGTTTAATTAAGCATGTTCATTAAACTGCAAGGATGAAGATCGGGCCACTCAATTCCTCATTTCTATTGTCTAACCAATTAATTAATGGATACTTTCAAAAGCAAAACAAAGCGAACTTTCCTCTCCCTCAAAGCTTTTTTTACCTTGAATGTCTCTGCGAAACACTTGGTCATCAGATTTAAAAAGAACTAAAATAATTCGACTAGGAGACTAAGGACTGCTGAATACGGAGAAGGTTGACATGCATTGCAGATGTCAAATCTTGGCCAAATTATCCAAAATTTTAAGATCGTAACGAAACTTTTTTAAAATATTGGTAACTGTATATTTTGGTGTTTCATGTAAATTTGATATTTTTCAACTTACTTAATGCTCAGAGAAATTCACCGTCATTTCTAACGATTCTGTGTTTTTCTTTCCATCATCGTCTGATTACAGGCTCGTTCCTGGACATTTAGTATTGGTTTCACACTATCTGTTGGAGGCCTGACTGCCAAACTGTGGATGGCTTATGGAGTAGTGAAAGAAAGATTCGTCAGAAGCAGGGTAATACTCAGGGCTTGACTATTTCTCACTGGAAGAAGGAAAATACTTATCTAAGATCTTACTGGCATTCCGTTACAACTCTCCAAGACGGAGTTTAAAATTTGCAACACCACCTTGACCATGAAGGAGCAAATATTAACATCGATCATAACTTTTGTGTTTACCGCGCTTTTGCGCATTCAGAGGTTACTTAAGCGGGGTAAGGTACATTCTTCAGAAGCAAACTCTCTCCTTTGTAAAGGCGTGATCTTTTCTCCGCCCTTTCCTCTAATACTGTAACATACTGCCTGTAGCCTTGTTTTTTTTTTCCTTCCGGTATCGAGTAATCTTGTGCAATTTACTTAAAAGGTCTCATTACTTTTTCATTCACAGAAAGTTATGATGTTTTGGATGCTTGGAATTCTTGTTCTTCTCTTAGTCATCGATATCACAATCTTAGGATGCTGGGAGACCATAGATCCCTTATACCGTATTCTCAAACAAGTCCGGTCACAGCCCGAGTATGAGTGTTTCCAGGTATGTAACAACACGTAGCATCCTCTTTTCAACGTACAATTTAACCTATTAATCGTAGATATCAAGGACCCATAAATTAGAAAGTGATCCTCGAAAATATGTCGATCAAATTGACATTTTCGAAAACAATTTCCATGAATGAAATTAGGAAATCCTCGCAGCTAAGAACACTACTGAAACGAGTAGTTGTAAATAGGACCTGAAAAACATTCAGGCCCGTACGGGATTTGAACCCATGACCTCTGGGATACCGGTGCAGCGCTCTACCAATTGAGCTAACAAGCCAACTGGGAGCTGGTCAATGAATTGGGTACAAATAAACATCGAGTAGTTTTAGCAGTAGTAGTCGTTTCTTAGCTGCGAGGATCTCCTAATTTCATCTCTCCACCGCAGTGCAAATATGTGAAATTTTCATATATCTAAAATCTCAATTGCCATGAATATTTCATCCCATGATCCAGTTATCTTCCCGATTGTCGATACTTGCTTCCTCAGGGGAATTCTTTCCCACAATCCTGCAAACAACCTCTAACAATACTGACCGGAGAAATTAGCATCAAGGATGCCATGTCGTATGCTTTGCTCAACTGTAATGAGCCATAATAATCGGTTTTCCAATGCAGCATTCCCATTTTATAAATAGACCTTCATGCTGTTAACTTTCGTGCCTTTCAGCCTATAACTGCTGACACCTTTCATGCCAAGATTGAGGTTGTGGAGCAATGTAACTGCGCGGATTTGACGCAGTGGCTGGTCGTGATTCTTGCATTCAAGGCGCTACTTGTGTTAGCCGGTGGATTTCTGGCTTGGCAGACAAGGAAACTTTACATTCCCGCGCTAAATGACACACAGCACTGCGTGTCATGCATGTTCGTGGTAGTGGTGTTCTGCGTGGCTGGTGCCATTGTGGCTTTTACAGCCACGTTGTACCCAAGCGTGTATTACGGTGTTATTGGTGGTCTTGTAATCTTCGCCACGACTCTAATCCTTTTCCTGCTATTTATAAACAAGGTAGGTCATATCAATTTCAGTTCATACAATGTGCAATAAAGCATACTTAGATTTCTACTGTTCGGGGCCGGGGTGGGAGGTGTGGAGTTACGCACCACCCCAATAATAGGTGTAGGTTTATCCCCCAATCAAACAGCTTCTTTGTTCGAATTAATATCATTCCCGTAGTTTTCGAAAGCTAGTTTCATAAATTTACTTAGATCACACAACCAAGGTTGTCCTATCCAGTAGCTGCTAACTTCAATCTTCAATCATGTACTTGCTTTGTTCCCAGATCGTTCGCTTGAGCTGCAAAAGGACAAGTGGCAAATCTGCAGTTGCTGGACAATCGGCAGAGTATGACACCACCTGCGCCTGCGGTGCAGCCTGTGCAAAGTTTTGCTCGTGCTGCACATGTTCATCCGCTTGTTGTATATCCTTTTGGTCTTGTTTCCCGTGCTGCAATTTGTTTACCTGCCTGCGGTCGTTCTTCTGTGGGTCCCAAGTGCATCCCTCCTCCGGGGATAGGAAAGAAAGCGAAAACGACTTTTATATCGGAGGTCATCTTCAAGATAAAGACGCGGAAATAGTCTATCTCAAAAATGAGCTTCGCGAGGTAAGTAACCTTTCGGAGTCATTTGTGAACTGTGTCAATCTACTTCAAACTGAACCATCCTCGTTCAACATCGGCAAAGATGTGTGTGCATGCTTGTAACTTGAGAGAAATTTACGCGAGCAAAGGAACGGGAACGACAATATTTAGTGTAATAACACTATCGATGTAAAATGGCGGTATTTTTAAAATTTTCATTGCTTGATTTCATCTTGCAGGGATAAACCCAAACCAAAAAAGATAGGGTTACCGTTTTCAGAAAAGTTTCTGTCGAACCTCTTTCGTCACATAACTCAATCAAATACCACAAAAAATGAGGTAACAGGTGTAAATTTAATGACTGAAGATGAGCAACCGTAACATGGCTAAGAAAATCGTGTCACCTGTTATCACTTTAGCACCTCTTGTCATCGCCTCCTCAGTAGGCAAACCCCAAGAAAAAAAAGTTTGTTGTCTCGGCGGAAAAACCCTCATCAGCTTATGTTTGCAGAAAAAGAATCGTAACCCTGCACACTTAAATGGCTCGAGTAGCGGAGCATGCGAAATCATTTTTCTTTGGTGTCTCCTCGCTCCCTTTTTGGCAGCGCACGCGCAACGTTCATGCCCACATTTGACTTCTTGTTACTCTTTACCAGTTAAAGTAGCAAAAATTTTCATCCGCTCACAACTGTCTTGATTATTTTTTCAGAGAGACACCATGCTGAGTAATGTGCAACAGAAGCGCACAGTTAAGACTATCGCTACCCAGACACACGATGACGGTAGCAACTTCCTGGATCACGGCGATGACGATTACGACAGCACACTTGACGCAAGCGGTAGTGATGCTGAGAGTTTCACGAGCACTGATGGAAGAAAGCGCATCCGGCGCGCGGCAAATAAAATCCGAATCTTTCACGAAGCGGCCGATTACTCTCATGTGAGAAGCAAGGTACGGTAGAGACGCTGGTTAAATAAACAGTAAGAATCTAAAATCACTAGTGTCCGAAATCGAGAGCAAATTAACAACCACATAAGTAGGCTCCAGGTCCACAGCTTTTAGTACACAGCTGGTGCAAGTCCATCCTTCCTAGTTAAGACAGTCTAACCAGTTCGCTCTGAAGAGGGGCTAACGCTCGAAACGTCAGCTTTGAACTTTTTACGGTGGCCAATTTACGTTATCAACCAAGTTGATAAAACTAAATTATCCTGTTATACTCTCCCACCGAAGCAGCACCACAGTTTCTCTAGAAACTTACCCCATCTGACCAACGAAAGTTTGTTTCCCGATAAATTCACGATATGGCTATCTCTTTTAGGTGAACACTGGAATAAGATCTTCCCTGGCTCCAAGCACTCCACAAGAAAGGAGGGGCTCACGGATGTCAATTTCTTCAATGTCCAATGAAGAAATACGCAAACTCAAGACATCAGTTGCAGAGGTAAGTAAAAAAAAAAAAAAACCCTTGGAGCCCCACGACTATACATAAAGTGATGTTTGCTACACCTACTACTCCACAGAAAGATGATGAAATAAACACATTAAAGAAAGAACTTGAGGCACTAAGAAAGCAGGAATCCACAGGAAATTCTCTTCAAAGGAAGTCTACAACAGAGCAGGTAAGATAAGATACTTGTTACACCTAGATAGAGAGAGAAGCGTCTACTGATCTATACATTGCCATTTTGCTCCTTCATTTCATCTTTGCCATAAAATCTTTGTGAATTCCGAGAAGATGTCTGCTTTTTGGAAGTAAATCCTGCTTGCTTCCCGGTGAAGCAAAATTTTACATGATACGCCATCCATATACCACCCACGTCCCCTAACTGATTTTGGTTTAGACAGTTCCCATGGTAGTGACCATTTTAATGTGACTTTGGAATTCAAGGACCCCACGGTTAAAAACAGTGAAGCAATAGCCTTTTTTCACTTTTTATACAGAAATCAGGAGAAACTTTCCCCGGAACGCAACGAATTCTATTGATTGAGACACCAGCGACGCCCATTCCTGAAGACAAAACTACATTTACTTTTCCTGTTCAGTCTTCGCGATCCACAAGTCCTTCAACAGTTCAGCCTCCAGGGTCCCCCAGTTCCTCAACTACAAAGCCTTCGGTAGCTCCCAGTTTCTCCATTGTCAAGCCTTCGATGTCCCCAAGTTCCCCCACTGTTAAGTCCTCGGCAGCCTCCAGTACCTCCCCTGGAAAATCATTGGCGTCAAAAAGCCCCTACGCTGTCAAGTTATCAGGGTCTCTCAGTCCCAACGCAGCTAAGACCTCAGTGTCTACATCGACGGTTAAGTCTTCGGAGTCTCACACTACCCCTTCAGCATCTCCGGTTCCCAGCTCGAAACGTAATAACATAGCCAAGAAAGTGTCTATCAACGAAGAAGACTCCTCATCTGAGAAACTTTCGAATAAACCAGAAACACAAGCGCAGGATAGAGCACATAAAAAGAACTCTATTGGCCCTGGAGGGGCGTGGCTATTTGACGATCATTCCGAGCCGACAATGCTGGAGAAAAGCATCAACAACGACTCGGCCACGATGGATAGTAACAAAGCCACAGGTCGTGGATCTAATATTTCCCCCACTGATAAAAATAAACCTGACGAAAATCTGAAAGCATCCCTTACAAACGTGTCCATATCTGTTCCTCTAGACAACGAATCTGCTCCTGAAAACGCAATAATTGGTACAAAAAAAGAGTTGAAGAGCACAGACAAAGAAGATGGAAATGGAAAAAGAGATGACATATACATTAATAACCTCAACAGTGGCAACGGGAAAAACCCCAATAACCAAGATCAAACTTCTAGAACTGCAAAACCCAAAGGCGAATTAGCAGAGGATGCGAGCTCTGCTGTGGAGAAAAGCGAACCCGAAAACGCAGAAGTTATGAAGGATGAGAGTGGAAGAACCATCGAAATAATTGACGAAGAAGAAGACGACGACGACGATGATGATGATAATGATGAATACGACGACGAAGAGGAAGAAGAAGATGGAGACGAAGATAAAGAAGGTGCTGCTACTACTGGCGAAGCAGCAGGCGGCCACAATGGTGCCAGGAAGAGTAAAAAAAGGGGAAGACGCAAAAAATTAGGATACGGCAAGTTGAAATGGAATGCTGCATCCAAAGTTGACACTGGTTCAGGTACACGCTCTAACGCGCCTAGAAGAAGTATTAAGAAGATTCCTCGATACAAAAACGATTATTCGCACGTACGGTCGCGAGTAACTTCAGTTAGTGAGGGGAGTACTGGAGAGAAAGTTACAGATAGTCCAATAACCAAGCGGAAACAGAGTGAAAACGAAGAGAAACGGATTAGGAGTCAATCCTTGTACAGACCTCCCCCTGAGTACATTAAAGTACGACCACGCTTATACAATGAAGGAAGGAGATACAGCGAAATGCCAAGACATAGTACAATGCCTTACAGCGTAAAGCAATCTTCTCGATGATGAAAAAACTATGAGATCATCAATAACATCCGCTGACCATAACTGACGCTGCTCGTAAAGTTTCAAAGGGCTTGCCATGTGCAACGGGCAATTCGAAGATCAGTGTTGGCGGCGCAGATACAAAGAGGTATATTGATAATCATAAATGTAATTACAATTTTGGACTTTTTTACATAAAGTGTACAAACTCATAACGAAAAAAATTAAAAAGCCGTGATTAATTCTGTAACTTCTTTTCAATTAAGAGTCCAATTCATTAAACCAAAATGGCACTATTTTTTTTGTCAACTGCTCATATCTTACAAAATACGTAACAATAAACAATTTATACAGCCCCGCTCATGTTATTATTGAACTTCTCAATCCGAACACTTTTATTATCGAATTGGAAAGGGGTAACTGCTTGCAAAATGTCGACATTTATTAGCTTGCTTATTTGTTTGTTCGCCCGTTGATTACTTTTCAAGCTTCTAAGCTCAACCTGCGTTGTAGGTGCGATACAACAAACTGGTGGGCCTCGAGCAAATCGGGAGATACAAATCTACAACAAAAGCAGAAGTTATTCTACATTACAAAATATCTGTCAAACTACGAGCGCTTTGATCGGTCAAAAAACGTATCGTTTATTGCATTGGAATATTGAACCCATTGTAATTGTGTCAAAGCGATAAACCGCCCTTTCCATCGGTTGACCGGTGTAATAACCTACTTGGAATGTTGGGAGTACACTCGAATAATTGTAAATCGTGAGCCGGATTTATAAACTTTTCGCACGTTCTCCCAACATCTCAAGTAGGTTATTACGCCGGTAAACCGATGAAAAGTGCGATCTACTGTTTACTTAGTTTTACATCGGCAAGATATCAAACCACCTGAACCTTTACGACCAAGGTGAACAACAGATTGCGTCAGTTAAGACACAGTGCGCTGCTCACAGAAAACTAATTTACACATCACTTAAGAAAAACAAAGAATCAATAATAAGGAAAATAAAAACATTTGATTAACGATATTGCACGTCGAAGCCTCTTTAATCAATTCGTTTAAAACATTTATCGGTTGCAATCATTCTTTGTTACCTTGAGCGTTACCCTGAGCCATATACGTTCTTTGGCTAGACTTCGGTTACCTACGTTCTTTGGCTAAATTTAGGTTACCTGGATGTCTTCCAAACGGGAATTTCTAGTTAGCCGGCCCAATCAATAGAAGGAAATTATTTTTTTGTCTAAATTTGTCTAAATCTAAATTTGGTTGATATTTACATCCTCATAGGAAGATCAATCAACGCCGATATGAAAGAGGGTGCAATTGTGTATAACTAATTCTGTCGTTACACCAACCTGGGTCAGAGGTGAAGCTCACACGGGAGACATACTCCCTGTTTGCGTGGGAAAATTAAGGCAAGCAAAGATGAAAAACATGTGTGTATGCCATTTGCGTGCACCATGAGCATGCAAATCTGTATTTCGTTTTAACCGCGTCGCCTTTTTCGCCACAGTACCAAGCTGCCGGTTAGACTTTAAAAGAACGCAACCAAATCCCAAGTGTTCATAGTCGCCAACCAAACATATTCTTTTCCACTGTTCGCGTGCACAATGCCATATTGAATGACGTCATAGAAGTGTCGTCACGAAAGATGTGTGCCAGAGAAAAATGGATACATGAACTGAACAAGGATTTACATTTACGCCACCGGTTTAGCGGTTCGCGGGCGAGCAAGAATAGAAGATTAATCACGAGAGAGGGGGATTGTAATGCCTGCTGTTTAATGTTTATTTTTCATCTTCCTTCTCTTCAAGAGCACCACAATCTCCTGCTTAGATACTCCATTGTCATTGCCATGAGAATGAACGACTTGATCAATTCTCCTATCGAATCGTTCACTTCTACCAGCTTCAAAAACATGCAGCCATACTAAATTATTGAGACCTCGAATTTGCCATCGAGCTTTTCATTTATGACATCTGAAAAACTACCGCAGCTTCCTCAATCTTTTTCCTGTCTTAGTTATATACGCATGCTCGTCCCAAAGATAATATAAAGCTTCAGGAAATCCATCAGTACGCAGGTGTTTTTATTCTGTTCCTTACTTGGATCTTAATTGGATATTTCATTTTTCTTACATGGAAATTGCTCGCCTTTTTATCAATTTTAGGCGCATCAAAATAATTTCAATAATCACTTACGGTTTATTAAAATTCACGTTTGTCACGATGGCGAAATGGTTTGTTTCCTCTGAACGTTGATTTAAATTTTTTTTTATCCCTTCCAAATGACAATAAATTATTCAAATGCTCTTCAATCGAAGCATGAATAAAACATTACATGGGGGCGAACTAATTATAATTTTTTTTTCTATTATCCAAGACATCATTAAAACCGCGGGTTCTTTTCAGAGAGGTTTCACGCCTCTGCCTTCTCTCGCTCTTTCAAATACAAGATAACCAAATTTCACAATGGTCAAAACAAACTTTCCATCAATAAATTCAATGACGAATGGAAGCAAACCTTGACAGCAAAACAGTATTTCGGAAAAGATCTGTAAGCCGGAAATCATTGTATATATCACTTGTAAAGGCAACCTTTTTTTTTTCGCAAATCGTCACACAAAAGTTCCCGGATAACTTTCAATTGCCCGGATGTCGCTTCCATCACAACTGACTCTGTTGGATCCACAGTCATCACGTATTCCATTTTTCCATTGCAAATTGTACAAACACGGTGCGTCGATATTAATATTACCAGCAAGGTTCCGTTCGTCAAAAAATCGTGTTTCGTCTCCTTTGGCAAAGTACTTTCAGAATTTGCCCTCACTACTGTCTGTGAACTTAGTTGTCATCACTTCGCTCGTGGTCACGACCAAACCGGGAAATAAGTTTGTATCAAGCACGATATATTTTCGGTATACAACGTGGGAGCATCCATAAGGGAAACGAAACGAAGACTGCGAACGAGAATGAACGAGAACTCTTCTTAAAACCAGGTATGATATGCTTTCTATTGTTACACGTGGGATTATTAAAAATATTTCAGCAATTCAGCGTATGATCTCGTGGCTGAGGTAAACGCGTTTCTATTAGCATAAAAGATCGAAGACACGAAACATAGTGTGTTCGTACTACTCAGCAGGGTGTAAGCTAGCGATAACTTATAAAACTTTCCAAAAGCACGCCAATAAACGGCGGCACAAAATACGCTGTGTTTGCATCTGAGACAAAAACAACAAAGTGATACATAAATTACTAGAAATCCGATGTTGCTGCATCGCCTGCTTGGGTCATCTGCGGTTAAGCTCTGATCGATATGATTCTAACCACAAATTAAACTTAGAATACCCAGACCCGGCTGGATCTTTACGAAATACAAGATTACTTTGTAGGTTGAGCAGTTAAATTGGACACAATATTGTTATGGTTCATTTACGATGAAAGGAAAACATTTCGTTCAATGACCCTTACGCGATGAATTTTAATTTCCTAGGTCAGCTGACGATCTTTTAGACAGGGTAAAAGAACTTCTAATCAGGAACTCCGTCACGTTTTTCGGCGAATAACGGCCTTATCTGTTTTCCAAATAAGGCGCTGGAAGGTTTGGAGTAACTTCTTAAAGAGGTATGTTCACTGATGCAAGTATAACGATAAGGACTGTCACAAGTTTAATTCGAAACTTCAATTAAACTGTGATTTCCAAATAATTCTTCGTATGTTTGCAAACGAATTTAAGATGAACTAGGAAGGCTGAAACTTCTTCTCCTACAGTTACGTCAAAATTACGAGTTTAAGACTTTTGAGAGATCTTGAATCTGGTGCTCTAGAGCGTGTCTTCGCTCCGTGTAATTGGCAAACACAATGCATTCGTACCGTGTGATTAACAAGTCCCCGTTGGTTTCTACACAAATGAAAACTCCTTCAATTAAGATCTGAAAGAAGATAACTGACAGCACACAAACAATATGACGGCAGAAGATATAGTTGAATGCAAGGATTTCCTTCATTATATTCTTCGCCACTTTCTTTTAGAAAATTCCGTTTCCCAAGAGTAAACTTATTCGCGTGCCAGTTGGAGAACGCTGTTTGCAAGTCGGAGATTCAAACATTCGTTTTTTTTTCTCTACCTTTTGAACTGCCAGTAGCGATTCACCGCTGTTTAACGTCCAGGATAATATTTTCATGAACAAGCATGAAGTTAATGCACTTAATCCATTAAATATCACCACAAACATTGCAATGATGTACTTATGCAAAATAGCCTCGTACCAGACAATGTAAACATAACGCAAATTATATTCAGAGACAAAACGGCCACAATTATTTCTGATCCAACCTTACGGCAAAGGTGATTGTACGGTGATTCAGTTATTATTATATTCGGCGCGTATGTTAGCTTACGAAAGACACATAACTTCACGTACCTAGTTTTGCTTTTATACAAGCAAAAAAATTTTGCAAAAAAATTTCACACAGCTAAACTAGGAAAACGTATTCGTGAAAATGGTACAGAGACATGGCTACTGTATGTAAAAAATCACAATATGGTAATTTCATAAAAAGTCTTCGGGTTTCAAGGAAAAAAATAAAATCGATTTTAATAAAATGTGTACCAGCCCTGTAAATTTATTCACTCCAAGCTGTGGTTTCCCTTTGATCCGGTGAGGTACCATATGTTTTTTTATTCAAAATTTTTGAGTCAAATGACATACGACAATTACTTCAAATAATTTCTTTTTCGCTTTCAGACAGTGCGTCTCTTTTTCAATAAAAATTTTTAGTAAAGGAGCCTTTTATCGCAGATAAAAATGTAAAATTCGCATATTTGAACGAATCACGAAAGTATTTATTACTACATAGCGGTATCGAAAATAGTTCAACTTTCGATTCACATGAAAAAATCTACATCCGAGTTAGGAAAGTCGATGAAAAATTTAAATGATAAAAGAAAATAAAGGAAAAAAAAGAGGAAAGATCATCAGATGTCACCTTTCAAAATGTTTATTTCCATCTACAAAATTGAAGAAATGTAAAATGGTTTCCGTGTTTACATAGCCTGATGTCAACACTTGTGAGGTTGGGAGAACACGAGATAAGCGTAGGAAACCGCGACGCGAAGCGGATTGGTTTCCAGCTTATCTCGTGTTCTCCCAACCTCCCAAGTGTTTACATCAGGCTATGTAAACACGGAAACCATTTTAAATTTCTTTTCTAGAATAACTAATGAAAGAGGGACGAAAACCATGTTTACATACACTCATGTAAAATGGTTTTAAGGCCAATCAGAGCGCGCTTACTATTTGAATTATTTTATAAATTCAAATTTTCACCAAACCCTTTCTTAAAACTAACACCAAATAAAGAAAAGATATTTCTGTTGTTTACTGCCAATCTGATATAGAGCGAGAAAATATCGCCTCTGGGGAAACAAAATCAGAGGAAAGCTAGGCTTGTTAAGAAACTAGAATTGGTTTTCCCTTTTTCATTCATAATTCCATTTTTTTACGCAAATCATACATTCCAAGCTGACGTCCTTATCTGACACTCAAATTGAATCAAGATGCCCCGATATCTTCGAAATAATTTTGGAGATTTAATGGTCTGTTATTAAAATAAAGTTGAAATTTTTGGGCGCCGTTTCCAATTAATTCAATATACAGTGCAGAAATTTTTCGACTGTCTGAAGTTCAAGTTGTTTTAGTCTATTATCATATGCAGCTGTCACTCACCTATTGATTTTTTGCTAAAATAATCGAAAACTACTTATTGTAGACTTTTCGATGATGAAAACAAAAAAGAAAACCATATTGCAATTTTTTTAGTCCTTCGTTAAATTTAAAAGCAGAAGAATACCTAAAAAACACGGTCACTATTGCAATATCGAGTTTCAGCAATAAAAAATTCATAATAATTCATAATAATTCATAACACAATTCAGAAAAGCTTAAACAAGCTGTGATTGATATGTAAACTTATCGTATTCACAAATTTCAAGCAGACTTCGCCATTAGGGGGCAGGAATTGGGGGGGGGGGGTTGGTGAGGTTAATTTTTTTCAAGGATAGGCTTTTCGGCCGGGCCATTTGTCAACAACAGGTGTCCCTTTTCGCAGTAAAAAGGGCCGCTTTAGGAAAAGCCTTGTATATTCATGTCAAACAGCGTTTAAATTAAAGAAATTTGTCTCACTCTTGTAGAAGAGCGGAAGAACAAAAAGACCAGAGAACTACAATTAGCCCCTCCCCTCCCCCCCCCTTCCTGCCTTCTATTATGCCCGTCTCCAGCTAGAGCTGTATTTGTATTTAGTCTTTCACTCGAGAAGAAACACCTCAATACCAAAGTGTTTATCGAGTGTTTACGTTTTGATGTAGAAAATTAGTAATCCTGCGGGATCTGCAAAAGAAGCTGATTAGGGGGCTTCTCTCTAGCTGAATGAGCTGAATTATAAATTGTTAATCCCATGAATTTATCCAGAACTGAAATAAGTCGTCGAAGCCATGGTAATGAGTTTTCTTGGCCGACAGCGTCGTTGACAATCCTTATGGCAAATCGATTTTTGGAAGACACTGGTAGGTACAGAGTAAAAATGCGTATTTGAAAATGGGAAAAACACTTTACCTTAGAGAAGAAAAGAACATGGCTTACGGCGGCTATCAATCTTCTGACCGCTAAAACAACCCAAGAATAACTATTATGATCACCGCCAAAACAACCCAGAATTTTTCTTTTTCATTTTGTAGGATGTAAATGACATTTTCAGCTGATTGTCAACATGAGTCCTGGGTTTAAAATCTGGATATTTTGTTTAATCTACTTCACTTTAAACCGCCATTTCGTGTGCGGTTTTAACGATACTGACTCAATCCGAGCTATGGTGACATTCAACGATACTCAGGGAGTCGTTAAACCGACGACTGTTCCTCGAGTGAAGCATCAATTGCACATCGCTGGTTTGTTCGATCACGATTCTCGCAATGGAGCAGGCTGCCTCGACGCTGCCTTCATGGCCGTCGAAGAAATCAACAACGATTTAAAATACCTGGCGGACTATGAAATTGTTCTTCACCATCACAAATCGACAAAGGTATAGTTTAGAAATAGAGATTTTGTTTCTTTTTTTCCTGTTTATAACGAACAGGTGGGCTCTGTGTGTAGTTTAGTCGGTTCTTTTGTGTCACTGAGTTCATTGAGCCGGTTAATGCAGGTTGGTCTCCCGCGAAAATGTCCAATTGAAGCTGGCATACATCTGTAAATATTTCAACCGTTTCGAGTGTTTTATTTGTGAACTGAATCAGAACATTTTCTTACTGTGACAAGACGCCAAATTCAATGTACGTCGAATAGTGAATATTCAAGCTGTTTTTTAGTAACAATTCCTTCGGTTGATTTGTCGCCAATTGTTGTGCGCATTAATGGCCGCAACAAATCTCGAGTCTTTTCTTTGTAAATTAAACGACAAGCTTTTTGCGGATCTATTTTTTTGGTACTCTTACTCGTCGCCATTTTGGGCATTTTTGGCATTTCCGAATGTTGTGAGTTGATGAGAGACTGACAGATTCATTTATACTGAAACTGACTTCAATTTTAATCTGTATTGATTCGTAAATATTTCAGGTTTATTTTTCTGAGCTTTAAATGCCATATTCATGACAGAAAAAGTCGCCCAATTTTAATATTTAACGATTCGGAAATGCATTCCCAGTTTTCAATGTTATCTCTGACATTAAATTGACGACTTTCAAGTACACAGCACCCATCGGCTTTATTTGAATAAAAGGGAATATACCATTTACTGTGTTTTTGTATCAGATACAGACATTTTTATCACCAACAAAATCAGTAATTTCAACAGCGCCCTAATCCATTCGTTTGATATGTTTAGACTACGGACCTGTTGTAATTAGACTGTATACGGATAAAAACATACTAAATGTAAAATTAATTAGTTCGGTGCCATAAATCGAGTGTAAAATAAACTAGAAGATTTTTCTTTATCTTCAGTTAACCTTAAAACTCGCATATTTCCAAGAATTTGATCGTCTGCTCTGAAAGCAATATTGTGAAACTTTGTAAATGGGTCGTTTCGTTGTTGGTGATTTTTTGCTCTCCCTACTTTTTGTTAACATAGTAAAAAATTATTTGCAGTTATATTAAACACTTGTAAGTGAAACTTGCCTGTATCATCTAAAAACATAGTGCACGCATTTGCAATTAAAAAAACCTCTCCGACTCAGACAAAGCGCATTGATAATTGATGACCGCATGTAATAAAAACTCTTTTTCTTTCATTTACATAAGCTGAGAACGTAGATAAGAGAATTATTACCTCAGGCATTTTTTCTTTTTTTATAGGGGGGGGGGGATGTCACATTATTCCCTGTTGGGAACGGAGGGGTCAGTCGTTGCTGACAAAGTATAAAGGGGGAAACTTTAGAAAATAAACAGCCAATGAAGGGGGGTGGGGGGAGTCGTAAGAACACTTCAAAGGCTCATGTGGGGACGAGGAAAATTTTAAAGTTACACAGCCAGAAAACTTCGATATCCCCCCACCTCCCCCACAGAACTCAATTCAATAATGCCTGGCCCCTACGTAAGCTGCCAAAACTCTGCAACACGAAGTAGAATAACGACTCTTTAAGGCTGTATTTGGAATAACTCCAGTCAACTTGAAGCCTTTGTTTTCGTTTTATTTGGCATTATGAACGAAAAAGATGATGCTTGTCTGGAAAAACAATTGTTTGGTCTGGGTTGCTGTTACGAGCCTTAAAACATCTGTTCTTGAGCTTTTCTTTTGGCTTTATAGTTTAATTTTTTTTTTTTTCATTTCACGTCGTTTGCATGCTCATTGTAAACGGGGCTGCCGCAGAAAACAAGTATTTATAAATTTCAGTCACAAAAATGCATTTTCTCTGGTAGAGTCATAAATTACCTAATAGGATATTTTTTTCATTATAACCACCATTGAGTTATAAGATGTTTATATTTCATAATAATTTATGTAAAAAAAAATTAAATTAAAATTAAATGAAAAAAATTAGTCTGCTGGGGATTTTATCCCTGAGGTTTTGTCTAAATTAAGAATTCGACTGACGAGGCATTTTTTTATTTTCTTTGAAACGGAAATATTTCTAAAGTCCTGGCCTAGAAATAATACCTTGAAGATCACGTGAATTTGGTTAGCGAATGCTCAATATTCTCTTAGCGAAAATTATAGCTGCTACCTTTGATTTTTACAGCAGTGAAATGTTTATAAATCTCTCACCTTTCTCACCCCCTCCCACCGTCTGCTCTAACGCTAAATCAAACATAGCCACCCTGATAAACGATCGCGAGTTTATAACGTCGACTCGCCCTAACAGCACGCATGAAATGCAAGCCAGAAAAGTTGCAAAGTGTTAAACAATAAGTTTTCCTCTTCCAAAGTCCGAGAAACCTCATGTGCCTGTAATATAGTTATTGAAAAACTCCTTTTCACGTGGAGCACAAAATGTCTTTCTTTCAGGGCCGTCTCAGCGAAGGAACCAAAATATTGTACGAATATTTAAACACTCCACCCAAAAAGCTTATGATCCTTGGACCATTTAATGATGACCTGGCCAAAACAGTGGCTGCATATGCTGGACTGCCAGAGATTGGAATTTTACAGGTAAGAATTAATCTAATTCATTTGGTTACTTGAGTACATAGGCATTTAAATTGACTGTAAGTACGAAATAATGCCAGGCAAGAAAATCGAAAGTTGCTTACATTATTAATGTGTTACCATGGGCTTGAATGACCTTACCATAGGATATTCCCACTCGCCACTGAGGATGAACAAATAATGTTCCAAAGAGAAATATCATCTCCTTGATCATCAATTGAACCCTGAAAAAAAAAATTGAGAGGTTTAACACCGAAGACACTCAACGCAAAGTAGAATACTTCTTATAATATTTCGCCTACGGTGTTTTCAAAGCCACCGTTCAGCCCGCGATTTTGATATACATGCTGTGTAACCCCCCTCCTTCTAACCCCAGACCCCCAGATCTCCTCTAACACATACGGAGGGTGCGATTTCTTCGTAATGAGGAGGGGGTGGGGGTTGGTGGGAATACACTAGCGCTTAAGGAGGTTTTACTAAAAAAAATATAATTTCCAGAAAAAGGGCGTTCTTGACGGTATCAAAATTAGTCAAGTGTTATTGCTGATGAGTGAAGCTGTCGTTACTGCTCAAATTAAAGAAATCGAGTCTTTTTCTGAGAATGATAATGTTCAATTTTTAAGCGAACTGGCCTTAAAGATACCGTTTCAATATTTATATTTTTGCAGTTTTCTCATGGAGCAACCAACCTGGAGCTCACAACCAAACGAGACCGATATCCTTTATTCTTCCGCACCGTTCCAACAGAATTCGTCTTCAACGAGCCTCGTTTGCAGTTTATCAATAAATTTGGCTGGAAGGACGAAATTGGTTTGATTTATGACGCGTCACCATACTACTCACTGGTGAGTCTACAGTTAAGTGAATGTCCCAGCATGTTTGTGTTATCATTCGTCTATGCACTGATTGAAACTTGCGCATAAACAGGCCCTAGTTTTAAAATTTCACCTGTGGAATGTGGTTGTGGCGATAAAATTAAATTAAAGTCTAAAAGTTTAGCTGCTTTAACCGCAGAATGCTCTTCCATCTATCTATTATGTTATTCTTTCAGCCGAGAAACTTAGTGTTACTACTGTTGTCACCATAACGCGCCTTCTTTAGCCGCTCCGAACCGCTCGATTCAAGCGGGTACGAGTGAACCGGACATGTATACGCGAGTTAGAAGTAACGGGCTCGAAGGATTTCTGCTTTGCGTGGTGTGCATATTTCTGAGTCTTTGCTACGCACGCTAATGGACGAAGTTTTAAAGTGAGAAATTCGTAAAGGACTGATCCAAATGACGCTGTTTTGCTTCATAGATAAGCAAGCATCTAGCTAAAAGTCTAGAAGGCAATGGGAGCAAAATCGTGGCAAATGAAGGCTTTACACAAGATCCAGCAGTTGCTGTCAAAATCCTAAAGGTGCAGAAAGTAATTCACGTTTTAAGGCTTACTGTAATGTATATGTTTTTAAATGAAAACACAGCTGAGTGGACAATTGACTGAGTCAAAATGTAAACGCCCTTGAGGGAGGAAAAAATTCAATTTTGCTTCGTTTTGTTCAAGAAGAAAAACGAAAACGGACTCCTTTGAAAATGGATTAGTGCGGTCAAGCCCTTAATTTCACTTTTTCACTACACTGGGCCCCCCAGGCTGAGCCCAGAAGATCAGGGAGAGGATTCTAGTTTTTTCATAATAACTGCACACTCTGGAAAAGAAAGTGATATTTTGACTTTTTCTTTCTCAGGACAAGGGAGCCCACATTATCGTTGGTACATTTCATCACTCCAGAGCAAGGGAAGTGTTTTGTCAGGTAAGCCTGTAATTGTGGCTAAACTCGTGCGAAGGAAAATGTTCCCCCATCGTTATATTCCCCTTGGAGATATTGGGCAAGGTAACCGAATCATTAAGTTTTCTTAAACTACGCGCAATCAGATTGAAAATGCGTTTCAGGTTGTTTTAGTGCAATTTGCGTCAGCCTTGCAAACGAATCTATGTTTGGAATTAAACAAGCTTAAAACCTTTGGTATTCTCAGACAACATCACTGCTGAACTACAATAGAAAATAAGCTATAAAATGCTAGTAGATTTTCAGTCTCTACAGTACAGCTTTTTAAGACCAATTAAGCTCTTTAGGTTATTAGCAGGTTCCTGTTTTCAAATTCTTTCGATTAACTCTCATTTTCACACCTTAGAGTGATAACTTTTGATTATAGCTTCTCAGGTGTACATCTAAGAGCTCACTCAGAGCACTCTGGAGTAGTATGGCAATAGTTTATAACTTATCCTGCAATAATACCTGTCGATCATTAAATCTTCCATTTAAGGCTTATCGAAACAGAATGTACGGCGAAAACTACGTCTGGATGGTAACATCTACCCCGGATGCTAATATAACCTCTGATTGGTGGAATCCTGAACTCCCCACAAAATTAGATTGCACGAGATCACAGATGGAAGAGGCGTTAGATCACCACTTCAATTTCTACTACAAGAATGAAATCAACGGCACTTTAGTGTCAGGAAAGGTACATGTTGTTTTCAACACTGTGCAGCTTTTGCCTCCGAAACCATTTCCTTTTACAGCCTTATAACAAAGAATACACTTTCGCACTTAACAAATTTGCGTCTTACATTTTTTAGACAACAGATAAATTCTTTACGCACTACAATCAAAGAATCCCACCTTCGTTTCGTAGTACTTACGCGCCATTTGCTTACGAGGCTATGTGGGCGATTGCCGTTACTCTTGAGCGTGCTCGGCCAGTATTGACCGCGTGGGGCATGGAACTACACGACCTTGGTTACGAGCGACCCAGTGTGAGCGAGCTGTTGAAGGAAGAGGCAGCCCAATTGCATTTTACGGGACCGTCGGTAAGGATTGTATGTACGGACAAATGTAAGAGAATAGCTGCTGTTATGCATCAACTTAGTTAAAGATCACAGATGACGAAACGAAAACTAAAAAAAAAAACAAACAAACAAACAAAACCGAAAATTAACCATAAAAGAAAAGGTTGTCTATAAGCCACAGGCAAGCAAGTCACTTATTTCCCTTCCAAAATCTTATGGCTTGTGATTTATTTGAGGTGATTATGTTAATGAAATGTCTTTGAAGCGATTTCCATTTATCTTTGATTGGTTATAGGGTGTAGTCGCGTTTGATGAGAATGGAAACAGGAAGTGCACAGTTTTCATACAGCAGTTCACGAAATCTGGTAGGTAGACAGGCATCAGCTCACTTCTCAAATGTTGTTTCTTTCTCATAAGAGAAGATGTATGCGTTTTCTAACAAACCCCTTGATAATACTTTAATTTCAAGGTTAAAAAAATTTCTTAGAAAAAAAATGTATTAATTGTTATCTTTTTTTCCCTTTTCGTCCAGTTGGCTCTTTTGAAGTGGGTGTGTATGACTACAATCCCCCTTCCCTTCTCCTGAGGGGAGATTCCACAGGAAACGGTACACCAGCGGTTTTGAAATATGTAAATTGGCCAGGTAAGTCATATCAACTTCTCTGGAGGCTTATGTCTCCAAAAAAAAAAACTGTTGGACTGTCGGTTCTTCAAAGGTGGACAGCAGAGAAGAGAAACTAATTCAATAATAAATTTTTTCGATGGTTTGTTCTTTACGCCGAACGTTCATCGATTGTAAGCAGTCTAGCTTCTAAGTATAACAGGGTAAGATAGTTTAGCAGCTGAGTTGATAACGTAAATTGGCCACCGTAAATAGTTGCAAAGCTGACGTTTCGAGCGTTAGCCCTTCGTCAGAGCAAAAGCTTCAGAGCGAGAGCTTTGAAAAAGGGGCTACGCTCGAAATGTCAGCTTCGCAATTCTTTACGGTGGCCAATTTATGTTATCAACTCAGTTGATAAAACTAAAATACCCTTTTATACTCTCCCACCGATGCAGCACCACAGTTTCTCTAGAAACTTACCCCCTTTATTCATTTGGCTTCTAAGTAGTCTAAAGAGTTTTTCTAAACACTTTAAACTCCCAAGATCTTGCAACTAATTTTCCTTCTGGCTTGTTCACCCTTTAACAGATTGATGTCTCCATTCCTCTTACCTTGTCTTTGTAGAACTGTTTTAGAATTTTAATGAGAAGTTATGTATTCATCACCTCCTTTTTACTCTCAATTCACAGCCGGTCAACCTTACCAAAGGAAATCTTCAACAGATTCGTGGTTGTACATCAGTCTTCCTCTCTTCCTGTCGTGGTCTTTAATCTCTGGATTTCTTCTCGTTTGCTGTGTTCTTTGTTTGGCTTTACTTTTAGTTTTTCGACGTCATAGGTGAGGAAAAGCCGCCAATCATTTAATTTCTATTGGTAGATCGAAATAATTTTTAAGGTTTCAATTTTAAGTTCGTTTGTTACTACTGCCTTTGCATTTTGAAAATTTGCCTTTTTTTTTCATTCGATACCTAATGTTTAGCCGATCAAAATGCTTCCAATTTATTTATTTTAGGCAGAGAGCCACCCATGAAAACTCGAAATGGTTAGGAACTTGCACCAGAGAGTGTTTAAGCGCTGCAAAAGTAATTTCTTAATATGCAGATTGATGCATTGAGGCCAAACCAAAATTTGCTCAAAGTTACAACCGCGCGACTACAGTGAATTTCATTTCTTCTGCATAATACAACCAAATTGTTTTTCCTTCATAATGTCACTGAACACATTTTTTCCTAATACAAAACAATCCAGAGTCATCTACCATTCTGGCTTTTACCTCACTGAATTGCTCATCTTTGGCTGCATGCTGAATCTTCTTTCCGTTGTGCTGTTTGGATTTGACGGTGCCCTTGTTTCCTTTGAACTGATGCAGTGGGTTTGTCAGGTTAGCATACGTACACGTTAAAAGTTGCTATGAGCTTAAGGAATCATGCACGCAAGGGAATGGGCTGGTAAGGTTTATTAGAAAGCAAATAAAAAAAGTTTTAATCGTTTTTTATGGAAAACGTAATGAGTCAAGACTCCATTAAATTTTATTTTTAAAAACAGATAGCTCCCCTTCCTCGTTATAGACAGATTTCCTAATGAACTCCCCCGAACTGTCCTCAATATGTCATCATTCCCGCAGTCTTCCTGCAAACCTCTTGTCATAAACGGTAAATTATACTAATTCGTGTCTACTTTCGAGGTTTCTATCCTAAGAGAAAATATTTACCAACGATTGAGCAGAATAACAGGCAGTTATGATAGGATACTGGCGAACGACATTCGACGAGAGCAAAGAAACCAATGAAACAACTCTCTTTTCTAGGAAGAAACAATGTCTAACTTGTTTGCTGCGTGACGTCGACATTGTATCTATTTCATTTTCAGGCACGTTCCTGGTTTCTCAGCCTGGGGTTCACATTTTGTCTCGGCAGTGTACTTCCCAGAGTCCTCTTCGCTTTCAGAGTTGTGTCAAGGAGACCGCTAACGATAAAAAAGGTTCGCAGGTGTACTTTATGGTAGACGAAAATTCTACCTTAAAACTTGTGCTAAAATGAAAAGCTAGATCATTTTCACGGTGCGTCAGAATTTTGTGGGTGCAGGGTTTTTACCTTATTTTCTCTTTTATAACATTCAGTTAAAACTCCTGTAAAATCCGTACAGAATGCGCAAACTAATCACCAAAAGTGTGCTCAATTCAAATTTTCTGAAGGTAATCATTGCTTGGCCGGCTTTTTCTCGCGCTGCACAGATTGATCCCACGCAATGCAAGGTTTCACATTATACCACGCTATCCAATGGTTACATGGATAGCGTCCGTGCACTTTTCGACGATAACATTTTTCCTCGCACCAAAAAAGACCACATCTTTTCTCGCGCTTTTCTTGAAAGTGTTTAAACATTCTTCCACTTTATGCTGATTATCCGTTTCCCTTTCATCGCCAAAATTCCCTTGTGTTTGCTTTGCCCCCTAATTCTTTAACTCCCAAGTCTGATTGTCAATTCTCTCCTCTAACTGCTACACATTTCCTTGGTAATTGGTTGCGAGAATGAAGTGTTTGATCAAGATTACAACCTGTCCCTAGTAAGTTTCAGTATTCTCGTTACCTGTTTGCTGGATAATGTATTGATATTGTGGGGAGGATTTACAAGTTAATCACTTCTGGCAATGACGAAATTTCACTCTTGATTCAGGTTCCATGGATGTGGATGCATTTCATGGCCTTGGTTATCTTCATTTGTGACGTCATTTTGTTGATCACGTGGCAAGTTATTTTTAACCCCCGTGCAGTGAGAACTCTGCGAGAGGTTAGTTGAGATGAGTTCATAACGAAGTAACTAAAGAAGAGAAATATTATCTGCTAATTAGTACATAATACATTACATAATTTTGGAAACTGTACATTACTCTCCTTAAAATTTCTTAGACGTACATTAAATTGGATTTTAACAGTGGGACCGCCACGGGTTTGCGGTTCGTCCACTTTTCCGGGTCGAAAGTTGGTTTTTGTGGAGAAACGAAACCCTGAGAAAATCCCTTTGAGCGAGGAAGAAAACAAACACCTAACTCGACCCACATGTTATATCCGGAAATCGAACTCAGGCCACAGCAGATTTACCTCTGTACTATCACTGCTCACTTAACTAACATCCCGACCCGATTGTTGAATTTCGACAGGTATCCAGACCCCGTCCGTACCATGAGCGAACAGTCCTCGTTGAACAATGCATCTCTGACGATGAGATGGGAGCGCTGGCTCTCCTCTTCATTCCCAAGGGAGTACTTCTCCTGATTGGCGCCTTAGCAGCCTGGCCGGCACGCCACCTGTGTATGCCGTTGTGTAACAACACGCGAAACTGTATTCAGTGTGTGGCAATAGCAAGTGTAATGTGCGTCATCGAGATTCCGATAATAATGCACGTGCGACAGTATCCCAATCCCTTTTATGGTATTACAGGTCTCATCATCATCGTAATATCAGCGGCACTCTTGATTATTGGAGTCGTTCCGCAGGTGAGAATAAAATTACGTCCACAGGGAGTTAAGAAGTAAGAGGAAGGTAGGTAGCCAAGCAGACCAGACACTAGCGAGGGCGTGGCGTTGTGGGACCTTGGGGTACATGTGTCTGCCTCCACAACCCCTTCTTCCTAGTAAGGATTTGGAAATTCTTTAGATAGGGAAATAAAGGAATCCCAACTCTCTTGACTCATCTAAAAACCCAAGTGTCTATTCTATTTTGCACGAGAAAAATCTGACGACAATCATGTTATTGATATGTGAAGTCCCCTGGGGTAGAAAGAGCATATTTGAGCAAAAGTTTGCTTTTAAATTCAGATTTCCCGTGATTTTTTTTTTCGCTTTTGTTGATGCTCTTAAAAAATTGAGAAAATTCTTGGTTCAGCGCAAAATCAATGTAACATAACTTGTCGAGTCAGGAGAAGTAATGGGCTTCTGGTCGAGTTCGATATCTATCAGAGTGACCAACTTGAAGAAGAGAGGAGTGATTTTATGAGAGACAACTTAGCGTAATGAAACTGTGTGCTCTGATCAAAGTTAGTCTAAATGCCTTTATTGGACTGGACACAGAAGAATATCTTTTCTGTTACTAACACTATTCCGTGAGTTGAAGTATTCCAGCGTAAAGGGAAAAACTCTCTCGGAAATCTCCTAGACTAAAATTACGGTATTGTTTTTTTTCTTCACAACAGCTGAAACGGGCCCAGAAATGCCAAAAGAAATCACAGATCGCATCTGAAGAAAACAATGATGTAGAAATGAGACATGACAACAATTACGAGAACAACTGCGGCGGCTGTGAATGTGATGTATGTGCTAATCCCAAGAAGTTCAGACCTCAACTGGCCTCGTGCTCAGGTCCCTACTCCTGTGCGCCGATCTCCCATGAGTGGGACTACATGGTCAACAACATACCAAACAGAACTAAAGAAGGGGAGACTCGTATTGTAACCGAAGTAAGTATATTTTTTAGACTCCATCTTCCTTAAGGAAAGGTTTACCAGAAGAGGATTTCAGTCTTCGATGGGATTTGAAGCCGTGGGTATTGGGTGGCGCCTAACTAATGCCAGGGAAGCACATGTTCGAATCCATTCGAAGCCTTGATTTTTTCAGGGTTTTTGTTTGTTCAATTTTTAAGTTCAGTTTACCCGGAAGGATTATCGCGTTCCTTAATAGTTGTGCAATCTTCAATGAACCCTATAATTCCCAAAAGTGATTAACATGTAACTTCTCCCTATTATATTCATACAGTATTTAGCAAACAGGTAATGAAAATACTCAAACTTATCAGGTAGAAGTTGTTATCCTGATGTAACACCAAATTCTCGTAGCCAATTTATTAGGAAATGTGTTGGAACGAGAGGGGAGAATTAACAATCAGATTGTGGGAGTTAAAAGATTAAGAGAGGATGCCATCTTCAATTATTTATCTCATATACAGACAGTCTACATTGACCCACCCAAGATTCCAACAGCGGCAGCGTACACTCAAACAATGCAAGTCTTGTACAACACATCCCAGGTACAAACAGTCGTCGTCAGAACCCAGAGCGCTTGCATGTTAACAGAACCGGAACCAGAAGTCGAAACTGCAGAACTGATGATGCAAACGGAAGCGGAAGAACCAACACCAGTGGCGACTGTCGACACACAGACAATAAGTGTTAAGTTGAGTGACAGCATTGTCCAAACAGAGAGAAAACCACTAAGTCATATTCACACACAAACAGACAAGGCGAAGATGAACGATTCATTCGTTCAAACGGATGATGTAAGTTCAACACATTCTCCTTTGACGATTTGTTTCCAAAGTGCTAGTTGGCGATTAATAGATTTTAGGTAAACTTTCCAATCATTTTCTCTATTCGCCAGCCTTACAGGCTACGGGCTCGATTTGCAACGTTCCCTTGAGTGCGAGCTCCGATTTTCCCGATAAGGAGGGGGAGGGAGCGCGGAATCATTTGCCGAACAGAGGCTGGACGTATATTACATTTAAACTTATTAGGGTATGACTTTTGAAAATATGACTTTTATTCACAGCCTCCTGAGCCAGAAATCGTGGACGATGAATCAGACACAGCCAGCGTTTCCAGCAGTATGTCCACCAGTCCAAAGCAACAGCGAAAGACGAGAAGATCCAGATTCAATATACAACCAAAAATTAACACGAACTTAAGTCAAAGAAAAAAAGAATTGGTAGCAAAATCATCTCATGTTGCCACACCTCGTCTGAGGCTGTCAACACCTCAACCGTACCCTACACCAAGATCGAGAGATCCATCGCCAGCTCGGGGGGAAAATAGATGAAGATTAAATTCTGCTGATCGATGAGCTCGGGTGGTGGGTCGAGCTTGTTGCAACTCTTGAGAAATGGCTGTAACTTCAACAATAAATGAGGAAAAAGCATCGTATTTAAGAGCTTTGTCAACGAATTATTTGTTTGCGGGAGTAAAACAACTTCCGGTTAGAAGGAGACTACTGGAAAACTGGAGATTCCATTAAAAGCCGGTTATCGGCGGTCTTCTGCCGCCTTTAACCCCTAAATTCCCATGAGTGGCCAAGAAGGAATTTCTCCTTACCATATCGATATAATATCAAGCAGAAAGGTGTTGAGAAAATAGAGAAATATCAATTAGGAGAGTATTAATTGATCTTATACAAATTCTCTGAACTAACATCATAAGAATTGTACGGCAGACAGTAAGGAGAATTACTGATGAGATCGTGTGTTTGGCTTTCGCGTTGTTGCCCCTTTTTCGGGCACAGCGGCCTATGAAACAATTTCTCCTTGAGTATAGAAGTATTTTAGTTTTGGCCGTGATCTCTAGTGCGATGAATCTTTGTTGATGAATCTTTGTTGGTGGCCTCGGTCGACATGTCGGCCGATATATCGGTCCGATACTTGACCGATACTTCACTGGCAGTTAATCGCTACGTATCGGCCGATGCATCGGCCGTCAGTCGGTCGATATATCGGTCGACTATCGGTCGACTATCGGCCGATACATCGGTCGACTGTCGGCCGATATGTCGACCAAGGCCACCTATAGTACACATGATCCGAATAGTCTTGCAAAAGCTTCCATTATTTTCAAAACACTCTAATATTCGTTCACGAACGGTAAAACCAAGAGGAAAAGTGGTATCAATAGTCTGAATATGAAGATACCATGGATGGTCCACGGAGAAATCTCGGAAACACTACTTACAGTTCACGGGGAGACCGCCGAAGATAGGCGGAAAACTAACCGACGACATAGCTCAATGTTTCTCACCAGTTGTACACGGAGTTAGATTTCGCATCGTGGCGCCACCAAAAGCCTGGCCATTACCAATTAAAAAGAGAAAAAAAACGCTTAGATTAGTGGAGAACTAGGTAAATATAAAATATTTCTGATAGAAACGAACACGCAAACATTGAGCACAAGATTGTTAATCAAATATCGGTTCTTTCATAGGAAGAAAGAAGTGAAACTGAATTTACTTAATTAACTCTTGTAGGGAATCTTTGCTTAAGTGATAGTGGAATATGCGATGATATGCCCATCAAATTGCTAATAGGTACTTATGATAATAGCTTCTTATATTCGGGGACATTAACAGTCACACACGTGCATCTTAAATCACACGCAGGTGCGTGTAGTGATGTGCAGTGTGTTTATCATGCCTACGTCACGCGCGTGTAATGCTGGGCTACAAGCAAGTAGTACCGTATACTTACAATTTCTACAATAACGTCTAAATATAGTGATATTTTACAAGTTAACAGAGATTCCAATGATAAAAAAAATTTTAATGTATAAGTACTGACAAAGCCCATCTTTTTAAAAGTAATCCTTTATCAATTTCAATGTACTGTTTGCATAAAATGAAGACTTCGTGGGTTAGCATTTACAATGATTTATGATACGAATATAAACTATGAACCCTTAATAACATTTGTAAACGTCTAAAACATAATGTTATTGTGCTCTATCTAGTTATGGGCAAAACTAAGACATCATGTGGATTTTCACTCCCAATATATCTTACATAAAATTCTATAAAACAATAAGAAAACATTTCTTGTTTTCTCTTCCTGAAAATAGTCAAGTTATCTCCCTGGTTGATAATTTTCTCATTTTTATTTTCTCCCTTTGAGATGATGGACCAAACTTGTAAGAAGAATAGTAAATGCTAAGATAGAACCCCTGAACAAAATTCCAGTATTACACCATTACATGGACCATGAGAAGAAATGAACATCATATGATAATAAAAATAGACGACCATATTCAATCCAAGACAGTGAAATTCTACAAAAGGCTAAAAAGAGTGGCCTAAACTCAGTCAATTATTCCTCTCCATTTAAAATTTCTCCATATGATGACTGGCTAAGGATTGTGCTGTCACCTTTAAGACTACCCAGATATACTCTGAGAGAAAACAACAAATGAAACTCAGAAATAATAGTAAAAAAAGATACATAACAGAAAATAGATGAGACGGAAGTGATGGAACATTAAAAACAGATGAAATAGAATAATTTTCTGGAATCATTGGTTTTCCATAGGCTCTCCCCTCAGAAATCTTCAGTCGTTCAGCTCTTCAAAGCTCTCATAAAAGCAAATTTCACATGTCACCTGTCGATAAAAGTTAAGGGCCTCCATTAAATCTTGAGTGAATGGACCAAATTCAACATTATATTTTTACTATATAGTTGAATCCATGGTAGTACTTCCAACTCATTAGCTACTATACAGTACTTTTTATTGGGTAATATACAAAACTTATTAAACCCAGTGGTTCCAAAATTCTTACAAACCCTTTAACCTTTTACTCCATAACATCAGTATGCATATTCTCCACACTAATCTCTAGACATTTCTTAGGGGTTCTGACAAGGAGAATTTGTTCAACAATCAAGTGCCTCTTTAGTTGGTGATCATTTCCTTTATTCTCATGACCTTAATGTTTGATTTAAGGCTGATCTTGTAAGGAGAAATTAGATGTTAGTCACTCTTAGGAGTTGAAGGGTTAACTCCCAAAAATGAAATATATTAAAGTTCACACGGCAACCAGGTGGACAATCAGACATAGTTTGATGCTCTTGTTTTCTCTTTCTGAAAATAGTCAAGTTATCTCCACGGTTGATAATTTTCTCATTTTTATTTTCTCCCTCTGAGACGATGTACCAAACTTGTATGAAGAATAGTAAATGCTGAGATAGAACCCATGAACAAAATTCCAGAAATCTTAGTCGTTCAGCTCTTCAAAGCTCTCATAAAGGCAAATTTCACATGTCACCCATCGATAAAAGATAAAAAAATCGTAACTTCTTTGGTTACATTCATTAAATCTGCAAACCAGAGTAGCGTCAAACTATGTCCCAAAAATGATTTACATTTCACTTCTCTCTATAAGATCCATACATTTTCCAGTAAACAGGTAATGAGTATACTCAAACTTATCAGGTAAAATTTGTTACCTAGATCTAACACCAAATTCTTGTGACAAATCTTGAGATTTAAAGGGTGAATAAACTTTTGACAATGTCTTCAGATCATCAAATTATAAAGTGCTTACAAAAAGGCTCTACAATGTCCTTTGTAACCCAAGTTCCACCATGTGAAGAAGTTAGTTTCAAAATATAACTGTGACTAAAAGGCAGCAAACAAATTACAATTCATTTATTTCACAAAATTATACAGAAATATCAATGAACCTCTCTATAAGAGTCACATATGTCTGACTATTGAAAATACAAGACTGCAGCAGTCAAACCAACTGAAGTCACTGCCAAAGTTGAGAGAGCTTTTCGTAAAGCAATGTACCATGAGGGAAAACAACTTGTCTTCAAATCTTTCCACAAAGCTACAGCAAGCCCAAAACACAATGTTGTCAGTCCTGGTGCAGGATTCATAAGTAAAGACAACCAGGCAATGAGAGATGGAGTTACACTGTATCCAAGAGTGTTCCAGTCTGGTTTAAGTTCACTAGTCTTTGGTAAGGTGTAACCCCAATGTACTGCACCAAGAAATGACAGAATGCATGCCCCATATGCTTGTTGCGCATGAGCAATCAGATTTAAGTGTTCTGGAGAAATAAATGCCATGGTAGCCAAGCTGCAGAAAGGGATGGCACCAGAAAAGCCAAGATATAAAGCTGATGATGGGCTGGACTTAAGGTCTACCAAAAAGCTACCTTGTGATTGGCTACTCATTGGTCGCAAGAATGACATGACTTTGAATGGACCTTGAGTACACAATGAACCACTAATTCCCTTAAAGGAAAAGCAACAAGTTTGTAAACCTCTGGAGTAAACACCACCTCCTTCTTGATATTTCTAAAGGGTTGACAAAGATTAAGCAAATTTATCTGAACCACAAGCCAGTTAACCTTTTACAGCCTAACTTCAGTATGTATATTCTCAAGACTGTTCTCTATAAATTTTCTAAGGTGCTGACAAAAAGAATTCAGTTGTTCAACAATCAAGAGCTTCTTGAGTTAGTGTGATCATTCCATTAATTCCCCTGACCTTAATGTTTGATTCAGGAGTGATATTGCATGGAGAAATTAGATGCTAGTCATTCTAAGAGCTTAGCCTCAGTTTCTTGCCGTTGATCAGGTTCAGTTGATTTTCACCAAAATTTTATGTAGTGTCTGTTTTCCGAAATTGAAATTTCTCCGTGCTTCTCAGATCGAAATTAATAAGCCACACTTTAGAAATTTTCAAATTAATCTAAAATAGAAGAAATCATTTGAGCTACAATCAACTACATCGATCATCGTATACATGAGTCTCAGAACTATCAGTGATCAACACCTGGCCAGGATTTTACAGCAGCAGAATACTTGAAGCAAATTTACAGCTGGAAAATCTTACCTTTCTAAACAACCCGTGTTCCGATGTTAGAACATGCATTTTCTCTTGTGATATACCTCTAGCATTGCCCGGAATCCTGCTAGTCAAAACACAGCAACCACGAAGAAAATGATGAGTTTTATCCCACGTAAAGCCCCGGACGGCTGCCATGTTGAACTTACATCCGCTGTGCATTATTACTGTTGTTTCTACTCTAGTCCAGTTTTCCCCAGGCCTGAGTTTTCCCTGTTGAAGTTGTGACGTCAATGACTTCGCATTGACGTCAATAATCTCTCCCCTGCCCCTTCTCCTTTACCACACATTCAACTTCCTTTCAAGGCGATAGCTTCACTTAGTCTTAATAAAATCGTGGGTCGTCTGCTATTCATATCTGACTGAAAAAAAAAAAACCCTTTAAGAGACGCAGGAAGAAAACATGTTTTCAACCTTAAGCCGCCACGGCATTTTGTGGAAACCAGTCGGTAAAATCGAATTTACATCCCGCAGGAATGGGGGTTTTTGGTTCTTCTTTTATTCATCAGTCCCAATTTTCAGTTTAAATCGATAGTGGATAACCTCTCTTGAACCAAATCTTCATTTTGAATTCACTAGAAGAGGAGTAATGCAAAAAGACAAACGCGCAACTTTTTGGGGTTTCCCTTATTATCTTGGCAGGGAAAACCCCGCGTGAGAAACTAAGTTAATAGAAGGCTTCCTGACCGTTAAGTGATTTTCCTAATTTGACAAGGGTTTCGGATATATTCCCTGTCACGCTTTTAGAGGGTTAAAGGTCGCAAAATAGTCACTAAATCCGGTGATAAAAAGACTAGAGTAGGACAACACCAGTAATTTTAAATCTTTGTTCTTCTAGGACGTGAGCTAACGCCAGAACGTGACAATGAATACATCTTTGGGTACTAAATATAAATCCGAAAATTAATTTGTTTAAATTCTCTGTATAGACAGCTGTCTTAAGCAATTGTTACATGACTTATACCTTAATTTAAAAATAGATGTAGACCAATACGTAAGCTGTTGTAAACACAACGGGAAATAAACTTGTGTCGTTCATTCCATTTTTTTTATCATCAAAAAGCCTGTCGGTTTTAAGAGTCATGAGGATAATTTTCTTAGAAATTGTCTCGAATGTTCTTGGAGTCCACAACGAGTCGACATCTACAGCATATCTAGAAATCTCACCTGTAACAATTTTATAAATGAACTGAGAATATAAGGAGACATTAACTTTTATAAAGCGTGCACTATTTTGAAAAAATCGCGAGCTGAATGTAAACTTACTCAAAGTTGAATATTTTCCACCGTAAATATAGGCAAGTATTTACCACAGCAGACGTACTGGACTATATTTATTGTTAAATTTTGACTTAAGTCATATTGAACCTAAATTTCAGCTGCGATAAAGAAACAAAAGGTTTAAAAAAAGAGAATTCTATAGAGTCTTCATCTCGCGTGAGGTAGATTTTCATGACTGAATGTTTTTTATACCTCATCGAGGTCATTTTTCCCCAAGAGATACCAAAGTATGATGTTACCATGTATTTCATTGCAAGTGACAATCATGAAAAACATTGGTGGTTCATTTCGATATAAAATGGCCTAAAAAAATTATTTGTTGACAACGACACTTGAGACGCATGCCAAAATAAGTATGTTCAGACAACACAATAGCCCGACAGGAAGGACTAGTTTTAAGGGAAAAGAAAAATCAGAGAATAATTATTTCTGAAATATTCCTTTTCAAATTTTAACTCAGTCAAAGTTCTTCCCAACGAGATACAATGTCTATTCCGATCGAATGTGAATTTATAATTTAGATAATCATTTCATGTCTGTGATTCACATCTGAGAAAATGATAAAATTAACAACGAAACATTTTAGTCGCATGACAAAGAAGTAATTTTAGGCAAAATTACGTTTCAGCGTTGGAATTGTCTCAGTTTCAACGACCGATATTAAAAATTAAAGCCACGATTCACCTGCTGCACACAGAACTCAATCAAGCGTTTGAAAGCTCGCGTGAATTTAGAGTAAGTTTACATGATGTCCTCTTGGAATAGCGCTGAAAATGAACCCAGAAATTCAAAAAAAGAAGGCTTTTACGATTTCTGTTTTAAAACGTGTCTTTCGCAAAACTTCTCACCTTCATTTGTTCTAGTCCATTAATAATGTTGGCTTTGAAGGAAAATACCGTGTGAACTAGGAGGAATAAATTAGTCACGGGTAGATGTCATCTACTTTCTTACGTGGATGTCTTTTGTTATTGCTTAACCACGAACAAACTTCATCCAAACCGTAACATTATCAATGCTTGAATGAATAAAACAAACATCCGTTTAAACTAACGATAAATTTAAGTCTGAAGATAAAAATTTCCAAGGTTTCAGTGGGAGTAAATCAAAACCAAAGCCGATTTTTTTCACTGGGTTAATTTTTGATAAGATTAACATTTCATTCGCTCTTAAAAGAGAGAAATTTTTTTGCGTGAGGGAATAGCAATTTGTTAACTGAGTTATAACCGACTTTCAGTTCATATTTTCAAAGGAGCCTTACTATACTTGTTTGACTTGTCAACCATTATTGACATTCTTGTTCGACTAGGGAAAACATTTCCTTCACTCCTGACCGCCGTCAGTAATAATCAGACGAAAACAAGAGGTTCAGTAATCGCATTTAATGATAAATTACTCCAATCTAATTTAAATAAGTACAACAATCTCATTAAATATATTACAAGAATGGCGCCTCTGAAGTAACCGAACAATCTCTTAATTTTCAAAAGCTTTCGTAAAAATTGTGAAAATAATTTACATAACATTGCACTTCTCTTTCGCTTTGAAGTTAAAAATTTTGAATTTGCTTTTCTTTTTTGGCGGTGCTTCGGGCATGAGAAATGTCAAAAGTTGACTAAAAATTTCTGACACATTGAGATTGTCTTTAGCTGATGTCTCCACATACCGAAGTTGGAATTTATCCGAGCTGTAAAGTCTTATCAACTCTGCTACATCTTGTTCCGTGACTTCTCGCACATTTAAGTCTTTTTTGTTACCAACCACAACAATCGGTACCCCTTCCTCGCTCCTGACCTTGATAATTTCGTCAAGCAATCTTTGAAGCTCGCGAAATGAGAATTCACTGTCTAACGAGAACACCAGCACTATGCCAGCGGCCTTCTGAATTGTCAGTTTTCTCATAGCTGGGAACTGAAAGCATCCTGCACAGTCTGTGGTGTTCAAAACGGTTACACCACCAAGTCTTTGTATCTCGTGGCTGTAGTAATCTTCTATAGTGGGAGTATATTCCTCGAAAAACTCGCCAACAAAAGATCGTCGAATAAGCGATGTCTTGCCCACGCTGGCGGCGCCAAACACAGCGATTTCGAAGCAAATTCGATGAGTCTTCCGAGCCAGTCGACATTTACAGTGTTTCATGTTCTTGGAAAGTTTAAAACGCTGGTGCTCGCTTCTGCAAAATACGATGGGTTGTCTTTTTTTAAGAGCAGCTCACCACGTTCCTCTCCTGACGAACGGCAATCGAAATTAACTTGATCAACATAATTGACACGACTTATGTTACTGGGAATGCATATGATCAATGCTTTTTCCTTGTTCAAATCGTAAATAGATGACCTTACGTCATCCTACGTCACTCCATGCAATGTGGTGTTTAAAAAAGGACAACGGAAGTAAATACTCCTTGGAAACATGCTTTTGTGGCCGCAATAACAAAAACAGCAAGACTTGACGACAAAACTGAAAAAACGTGCTAAACCTTCTCAGAGCGGAGCTATTCTTTCACGAAATCGTACAACTCAGGTTTTCGTCATGAAATCGTAGGTCACGAGGCAACCTCGGAAGTGAACACTTGGCCAAAAGTTATATAACACGAGAATATAATATGACGGATTCAAGCTCTGTTAGTTTTTTCGCCTAGAGCTCTTGGCTTTTAGTCTTTCAGTGAGTTTGCAATATAGAGTCGGAAATCCACCTGGGAACACCACACCATGAGCTTGCATTTCGAGAAATTGAGATAAAATCATTCATCATCGAAATTTTCCAAAAGATCTCTCAGAAAAGCTTGAGGGTCTTCGTTATCCAAATTCAACGCCAAGAATTTCTTGACGATGGCTTTGTGTCTGAAACAAAAGGATCAATATGATGAAAACACCCTGTGCACAGACAATATTTCGAGGAGAACAAAGTACATAATCCTAACCACAGACTTCGACTTTAGAGCTTGACGTAAGCAAACATTAACACCTGTACACCAAGACAAAAAATATGGATTAAAAAAATTATGTAATGGATAAATTTGAAAGCTCAAAACATTTCCTCTATTGGCGAGGAAGTTTTACGGAATTTTTCCAACAGTTATATCCAAATTATCTCTTTTTCTTGAGGAACATTTGTGTAAATTGTTCACTTGTTAGTTAAGTACGGGGCATCGATTCTCGACTCCAATAAAAGCTCCTTCAGGCCGGTATTATTCTGTGTATGTACTAACCAAGACAATTACATATACCGGAATTTTAAAGATTTCGTATTAAATGTAAACAATTCGGGGGCTTTCTTTTGAAATACAGCTGGGAAACTGCACGAAGACACTACCCACGTAAAGTTTTAAATTAGTGGTGGCCAGAGTCATGGCATGAAAGAAAGAAATGCCAAACTAAACCTCTTTCTTTGTTCTTCGTCATCTGCAGTGTCCTTTCGAAGGATCGGTTTGTTGCATCTTGTAAGTTCTGTCACCTTCAGAGAAGAAAAAAATTACGACGATCGTATTAAAAAAAAATCAAACAAATTAACTTTCTGAGTCCAGTGCGGAGGCTCCTCCAGTTTTTTCATTACGTTTCCTGATAGATTGCGGTTACTTATTTACACTCTTGTGGGGGGAGAGGCACAAAGAAGAGTGTTCAGTGTCTCGCCAAAGAACACAACACAATTACCCAGCTAGCGCTCGAGCCGGGAGCTCACGATCCGGAGTCGGGCCCACAATGCACTACGCCATTACGTCTATGACTCTTGAAGATTATCAAGTCAGGTTTGCGGTTTGAGGTTCACGTTTGAACGTACTGTAAAACATCACAAATAAACTGTTTAGAACTATTTCGCTTATTAATTATCGTTTTGAAACGTGATTTTAACGAGAACAAACGTGGGACACAGAGTCGGATTACTTTAAAACTACGATAAACAAATTCAAAAGCAGATTTCTGATGATATGTAAATGCATTCTTCTAGATGGCTCCGTTCAGATGGCCAAGCCTTAAAAATGACATTGCCCTGGCTAAAGAATTGCTTGCCACAAACGCATCAGGAATGGGATGAATTAGCAACTATTCTCTGAAGTCTTTAGTTCCGACAGCAACAGATTTGAACTAAAGGGGCGCGGATGATTTAATGTGTCAAAATATGGGCAGAAAGGAACCGCTAACTGCCGGTTTAGCGTTTTTAACCTCGATCTTAAGGTCTCTATTATTTTTTTTTTATCTTTTATCTCACGCTCGTGATAAGACGAAAAAACTTATTTATCTACATCTTTAATTCACCGAGCTCAAAAATCTACCATATTCTTATTCTGTTTAATACCAAGACATATTTCAATAAACTTGAAATGATATTAGATTAATGTATCAGGTAGTGGCTAGAAACCTGCTGCGCTCTTTTGAGTAATTCATCGGGCAAGCCAGCCAAGGAGGCGATATGGCATGCAAGACTGCTCTCGGCGCAACCATCAATAAGGTGATACAAAAACGCAACGTCCTCGCCTTCTTCCAGCACTTGCATCGTCTAATGATGTCGTACAAAATTGCAAAGGAAAATAAAAAGAACAAAATACTGCCTTCATATTGTGTGGCGCAATAACACTTCGTACCGAGACGATTCAAAGCTTAAATGAATGACGATACGCTCGTGAGTTTTTGTTTGGAAGAGGTAATTAGAGAAGAGGGCTTCTAGAGCGTTCGCGGTTGACTTTATTTCTAGGTTGTAGACAATCGGATTTTAAAACTCTTTTACCAAGGTATGAGTTTCTTTTAAGTCCTACCTGGGACGACATTTCTATTTGTTGTTGTTGCTGTAATTCATTTCTTTAGTTGTTTATCTGTCTATTGTAGGCAGAAGTTACTTTAGAGAGCGAGTTTTGTTTTCTTTTAAAATCTAAAAACTATGACCATTGGATCATGGAAAAAAGCCGCTATAAAGCTAGTATCCGGACGACAGTCTTCTTTGCGACGTGTACCAACAAAAACTGCTGCAGGATCAGAAATTGCCCTCCAGTTTTTGGGAAAAATACAACGCATGCCAGAAGTATAATTGTGCATTTATGACCCTTTGAGATGTCAGTGAAATGTGATACAGCTGCCTGCAACTTTGCGATGGATATTACAAAAGTACCTGATATGTGACCAGAGGTGTCTGCGGTAGGAGCTTTTGTTTCACAAGGCTATGAAAGTGCGTCGAGACAAGCAGCTTTGGGCAACTGGATCCCTGTCTCAGCCAGTGTCGAAGAATGGCTGTCAGCAGCGACAAACCGTCGATCTAAAGTCAGAAAATAGGGAGATGCTACTTTAATCATGAACTAAAAACGACCTGAATAAACATTGGCACTTCCTGGACGTTCTAAAGATAGTAAATTATAACCATTGGTTGGAATAAAGATCTACGTAAACTTATCTCCAATCGAAATGTCTAAATTTTTCGGTAGACCTTCGAAGTCCAATTTTTTTGGATATTTTTTCCATGTCAAACTAAGCATCGTTATTTCAACAATAGTTACCAAGAAAAAATTGGGTAAAATGGGGAACGCACACGAGTTATTTACAAAAACGTATTTTTGAACTGAATTCTTTGGCCCGCCAAAGTGCTGAGAGCCTATTATAACATGTCAAGATAAATTCATTAATGACTCCCAAGGGGTTTCTTGCGGCAAAACATCCTGGTCCTTGAATTTCGCTCGCGTAAAATCTCCTGATTCGGTTGCACCTGGAGATCTTTGCTAACTGTCCGCGTTTAAAACTGGAATGTGAATGGAGAAAGATAAAAAGGAGAGGATTCCATAGTTGAAAGTGAAAAAGAAGCCTAGCTGTCAGCACAAGTAATGAAATTACTCACTTCCAGTTAGCTTTAGAGGAGTAGGATTACGACTCTGGTAGTAATTTTCGTTCACTTCTTATTATTTATTAGAAAATTCGATTAGAAGTTCCCTTTTTCTCGCTCTGGCAAATGAGATGCAAATGACAAATGAGATGCATATTTTTAGGTAATCGTAACGATATTTTGGGGCTTTTTCTTCTTCCTTCCAAAACTCATTAAATTATCTATTATTATATCTGTCACCTCTTTAACATATTATCACTTCCTTGTTTTCAAATTAACACTTTCTGTGGAACTGAAATTTCCATATTTTTTACTTCCTTGTTTTATTTGTCGTGGGTAAAGGGAAAACCTTTTAAATAGTATTTCGTCACTTAAATGGAACCTATATCATTCTATACATAGCACAGATCTCACTGAGAAAATATTCCGTGAGGAAAACCACAATAAATCAGAAAGGAACACCAAAAAAAAGGGAAATAAAACAATCCACGGGTTCAAGCTTAAATTTCAACATCTGAGCAGCAATTTAGCTTTAACGTACACAGTACAGTCCACATTTTGGTTAATTTGCGTGAAAAAATGTTTTTTTTTAGGATAAATATTTTAAAATATAGATACCATGTTGTTTAGTAACAGACCAAAGATAACGTCAAATGTGGTAAGGACAAGGAAGCGGCGCACGAAACGCAGCCAGGTGTGTCACTGATGTTCTTCTCATATTCTGACGTCTTCTGTGATCTATTACTGAACAAATCCACGGCAGCGTGGGATCTATTTGTTTTATGTGATAAAAAAGGAAAATGTAGTTAATGGTGACTTTATCCGTGCGTCTTTTTCTCCGATCGATCATAAGAACCAATCTAACTATGTGTGACATTCAGCTTATCATATAAACAAAACTGTCGTTATAGTAACCGTGGCAGTTCCTTTTCCAAATTCATCAACGATGACCAGTGAATTCTCTGTGGCAGCATTCACTGCAGTCGCCACCTGATAAATGATGAAATGTATTTTAATCAAACTTGACGAAAAAGAAAGGTCAGGCAGTTGGAGAAAGTCAAACTGTAATTCCATTTCAATTTTCTGTTTTAGTATTAAAAGCAAAAGAAAAAGCCGGGCGAAATAGAGAATAAGGAAGTAACACTATAAAACGACGAAGGCTCCAAGGTCAAACATGCATGTCATTGGTATCATGCGCAAATAAACACGTGGCATAAAGATGCGGCCGCTTTTGGATCTAATTTGCCTCTCATCGCTATAGACGGCAGCGGAAGTTTATCAATTCATCAACGAACACAGATGGGGTAAGCCTAGCTGAATTAAAACCTACTATAGCCTAAAAAAGTAAAAGAGACACTATTAAAATGGTATAACCATGAATAATTCATTTTGTCTTTTTAACGTTTTACATGCCTCTTGCCCCTTTACCTCTCCTTCGCCTCTATTCACTGTTATGCCCGATTAACGGCAAGAAAAATCGATGAATAAGATCGAGTTGGGAATAAAGAGGTAAAGGTTGTAATTTGTCAAACACTGATAAAAAGAAAGTGTCTAAGCCATTTAGTCACTAATTGTAGCCCGTGAGCAGGCACTCACTATCAGCGGTTCAGCACGAGCGTTTCTTCGCCGGCAAAAAAGTAAGTATGGGGGCTTAGTAACTAATAATTGGTGCCTGACCCCGGGCAAACCTCTCTCCGACTCATCTAAAATATTCCCACGAGCGGAGCAACGCACTCTTTAAGCGCTATTAATAGGGACCTTAAGCAGCCACGACGGCAACACCAAGGAAAACGACGATTACAAGGCGCATTTCTATTTTTAGTTAGAAATTCGAAAATGGCTGCATGTGTTTACCGTCTATTACGGTGCCACCATAAGCATCGTTGAGTTCCAATTAGAAATTAAAGTAAGTTGAGGTCGCAGTTTTCGTTCGCAGACGACACAAATTTGGGTGATTTCACGTGGTTGTTTTGCAGAGGCCAACTAAGAAATGAACAAAGTTTTAAAACCTCACGTGCTGGCTATTGTTTTGCTCGTTAGATCTTTTGCCATGTCCTCGTTGCCGAAGCCGTCGTGATTTGCTTAAGGTCCCTAACAATGAAAGCCTGCTTACTCCAAAGGAAATCATTCAAACAAACTATCAAAATCGATTTTGTATAGGTAGTAGCATCATTTAGAGTGCAATTTGGAGTAAATAAGCACAAATAAATTTTTTAAAGACAACAAAATTGCACGAGCCCGTAAAGCAAGTGCAATTTGTAGTCTTTGAAAAATTTACAAGTGCCTATTCACCAAATTGCCAGTAGAAACATTTTATTGTTTGTTAATGATGTACATGAAAAAACACCACAGAAAATCAAGACCAACGAAATTTTGAAGCGTGCCCACGTTATTTTCAATTTGCATTCGTGTTACATGAGAATTCACTCGTTTTCAGCCAATCAGAAGCGCGTAATTTTTTTCAAGGTACATTATTAGAGATGTACTGGCAATGCTTAACTACCACAGCCGGGTTTCCAGGAAATAAAGAATTGGGTGCACCTGTGATTTTCTCGTTTTTCGATTGCAAGTTTCATGCGGATGATTTCAAACAACTAAATTTCATTACAATTACCTACCTGATTTAAATCGATCATAAACGTAGACAAGCCAACTGACACGGTTTCTCTTGTGTGTATTCGTGTAAAAATTCTGTCAGTGATGCCAACAGTGGCTGACTCTGCCGGAACAAAACTTCCAATATGAGCCAGGAATACAATCAAACCGACCTGAAATTCAAAGAAAAGAATTTCCGTCAACATTTATATCCTAAGAAATGTGGCCCTTCCTAAAGGTGACATTTCTAAACCCTTTACTCTCTAACATCAATATGCATATTATCCAAACTTTTCTCTATACATTTCCTTAACAGATAATCGCCTCGGTAATTTAACGGTCCCGAAGCCATAGTTTCAAATCAAGAGTTAAAGAACAAAGAAGCAGGCTCTAAAACCCTAACCAGTCCATTGACTTTCTTTAGCTGCTGGTTTAATTGCATAATACTGAAAACTTTGAAACCACCATTTTGAATGAAAACAGAGCAGCTTAACAGGCCCGTTAAGTTACCGAGACTTTCGAGAAACGGGCCACTGGTTCATGCACAAAAGGCTGCATCCACCTATAACGTAACATAGTTGTAAAGAGGGACAGGGAAGGGAGGGGTAATTTTCTATCTTGACTTTAGTAGAGGGTGCCTCGCACATTGACGAAAATTCGAGAAAAAATTAAGGAAAAGATGTTGAATGGCATGACATCGAACAGAGGATCACCTTAGCGTTTGACGTCTTTTCAAAGAAACAGCTGTATTTTGTTTCCCTTAGTTTATCATCCATTTCTATCATATTTTATTTCGGCGCGCAAACCATCAGGCCTCAATTCGTCACACTGTTTACTATTCGTTACGTTCACCTGCTTAAGGTACACACTTTTACCGCTGGCATTTGGTCCCGTCAACACCTTCATCCGTTCTTTATCTTGTTCAATCACAGTGTCATTCGGAACGAACAGATTGACACAAAGTTCCTGTAAGGGATGCCTGAAGTAACGACACACACTTTTCAAAAATCAATTTAAATAAAATTCCCAAAGAGGGAAGCTTTAAAATAAAAAGATGTAAGTTGTTGTAGCTCGTAGCCATTTTGTGTCGCACTGAAGTACTAAAATTGCGTGGAGTCGTTCGTGAGGGTAAATATTCTAAGAAATATTTCGCGTGACTTTTAAGTAAACCAACAACCGTTAGCACCTCAATACTCAATCGATATATTTCTGTCATGGTAGCGACTGCTTTTTTTTTTTCTTTTAATTCAGATATTCATGGTGAAGGGGAAGAGTGCAGGCTAATTTTGCGAAAAATTGCTAAAAATCGAGCCTGTCTTACACCAAGAGTCTACAAACCTCACCTGCCCTGTTCTATGTTCAACACAGAATCCATTGTCAACTTGGGGCAGACATAATTGTTCTCCCTGGCACATAGAGCCAAAGAAATTAAACTGAAACCAAAAAATAAGACCAAATTAAAAAATCCTTGAATATGAGGATATCCGAACAAAGATGATAAAAAATGGCAAAGACAAGGATTTAAAAAAAACGCACTTGGAAACAATGTTTCAAATTTTCAAAAGCAGCTTTTGAAAATTAGCACCATACCAGTCCAGCTCTGCACAGCATTCCATAACATCCATAAGCACTTTGGTGTGTTCTAGGATAACAGTCTGTAAGCGGTGCATGATGGCGGTCTCATGGTCTGAAAAAAAAAAAACAATGAACTTAAAGTAATCTTTAACGGTTCCGAGAAGTTCCCAGGAATGTGAGGTGGGGGAGTGGGAGGTCACGTGAGATGGACAAGCATCCCTCCCAAGAGGAGTAGGACTTCATTTATAGACCTTTCACTTTTCTATATCAATATCCATACTCCTAATACTACTCTTCACATATTTCTAGTAGTAATAATCAGGAGAATCTGTTTAACAATCAAGAGCATTATAAAACGACGATGATTTCCTCAGTTGTAATGGCCGTCTTGTTTGATTCAGAAGTGATACCGTGAGGAGAAACTAGATGCTGATAACTCTTAGGAGGGGGTGCGGTGAGGGAGGGGGTGCGGTGAGGGAGGGGGTGCGGTGTGGGAGGGGGAGAGAGGGTTAATAAACAAACCTGTTATCTCACACTGTGTATCTCCAAGAAGGTTATCTAGTTCTGAAACACAAAATGTAAAAAAGTGTTAACTTTGATAGAGAAAAATCATAGTGGAAAACTTGGAAAGGAGGGTGCATCGTCAAAGTTCTTACCTCTAGTGCGAGCACTCTTGTAGTGAAGCCTGTTGTTGCTTAAGAACTAGGAGGAAAAACAAAATCTGGAATGGGGCTTTGGTTTAGAAATTACATATACTTTACATTACACTTGTCTTTGTAGAATGAGTATGCCATAGTATTCTGAATAAAATCAGTTGGAATAAACAGTTGGTAGACGGAACAGTGATGTTACAGTTGTGTGGTTGTCCGCCTAATACAGGTTTCCACTATATATAAACCTTATCTTTAAACAGCCATCTCACCACAAATTCTAAACCATCCATGGCAAAATCATCCTCCTCTTTCATCTCTGGTGACCGAGGGATTGCCAACAAATAGCCAAGCTGTGGAGAGAAGATATACGTCAAAACAATAGGAAAAAAATATTGGAAAATATGCGTTGGTACAAAGAAAAACAAATTCTGATATCTCAATGGATGTCAAAATTACCTGAGGTAGGTAAATGACGTTACATTCGGTAATTGAAGAGCTCAGCTTGTTTAGTTCTTCTCTCGCAACAGTTGTCATAAAGTCGGGTAGGCCATTGTATGTTCTTTTCTCTTTGAATTGAAGAAAATAACACTTTGTTGCTGTTGTTGTACTACAACAAAAACAAGTAGAACACACAGCTTTATAGGTCAGCGTCACGATTGGAGAAATGCGATATGTGATTCGTCAAGGCCAAAAGGAAGAGCTTTGCGCTCGAATTTTAATTTTATCCGTTCTCGCCACTAGGTACTGCGGCCACAAAGGCTCGTTTTGGCTGAACTACAAAAGAAGCGATAGGTACTAAAATATTGGAGTAAAATAGCGGATTTTTGCATAGTCTGTTGTCAGAGGGCAATCTCTATTAGTTTTGCAACTCAATCCAGCATAGCACAGTGTTATTCCTATTCAATATTCCTATTGAATAAGAAATTAAGAGAAAACAGCGTGGAGAATATGCATGAATACTAATGTTGAGATGTAAAGAGTTAATCTTAAGTAAAGACAAAAGAAAACAGTGCTTACTTTCGTCTAAAGCCGGATCGACTCCAGGTTTAACAACAAATCGGTTTTGATCTGTCGACTCATCAAAGTCAATCTAGGAAAAAAGGAAATTCAGGTTATTTAGAATATAAAAAGGGAAAGGCGGGTACAACTACAAAAACAAAAAAACAAAAAAAACAAAACACCAGTCAGATGAGAATACTGAAAACGTATACTTACTATTTTACTCATCAGGCTTCCAATTTGAAGCAATTCATCTGTAAAACTTGTAGCAATCTAAGGAAAACAGCGCACTCATAAGTGAGAAAAGATTCTGTACACGAGCTAAGTGGCCCATCCAGCCGGAGTATATGTCAATTCCCTTGGCAAGAAGCGACTAAGACTATTACTTCTCCCCCCTACATGGGATGCCACTCCATCGAAACTGCTACTCCATGCATTTCATCAGATTGCTTGATATTTCACTGGTACCCACTACTCCTGGGTGTGGAGAGAGGTACTGGGAGAGTAAAGTGTTTTGCCCAAGAATACTACACAGTGACACGGCCAGGTCACAGAACCAGAACCCAGACTTCTCGACCCGGAGTCCAGCGCATTACCCATAAGGCCCCCCCGTCTATCTCAGCGCACTCGTAAGCCGTAGGACAATAAAACAAAATCACTGACAATTTCTTCCACAAACTGAAAATTTAGTTTTGTGCGTCATCAACGCACAACTTAAAATGATAACCATAAAAAGAAACGCTATGACTTAGTGTTAAGCAAAATGAACTCATGACTAAAAAGTTAAGGAAAGCAATGATGCAGCTTAAAGAAAACAAGCCACTACCTTTTTGGCAATCGCAACATCCGTGGGTATCCTTCTACAAAGGTCAGCAATGTAAGTTGCATTATAGGCCGTCTGTAATCAAACAAATCATGTTTTAGAAATTCAGGTATTTCATTAATAAGATAGTAATGCTAATGATACCTTATAGAGTGCTTGCCAGTCGCCAACAGATGCTTGAGCTGTAGTCATCCTTGATAGTATTCCCTGTATGGTGAAAGAAATATACTTCCTTGATAATGAAATTCAATTAAACGAATATACAATATATCATAGAAAGATGGTTTAAAGTTACCTTCGAACTCGCCGCCAGAAAAATGTAGAAAACAAAGAAAAGAAAAGAAAAGAGACATATGAAAATGTACTAAACCACACTGCAGTCAAGGCAGCATTCGTTTTTGGAGACACACAACATCTGGAGGCTTAGGCAACCAAGGAGACTAGCGCAAAATTTAAAACGAAAACACGACAGAGCATGAGCAACATCTGAAGGAAATGTTTACCTCAATTTCACGAAAACCCAGGAAGGCTTCTGTTAAACTTATCAAAACGTTACAGTTTCTTACGTGCCGGCCGAACTCTAGTTGCCGAATTAGCGACTTACGCTGCTAAGTTAGTTGTTCAAATGTTTTCCTACGCACCGTAACGACCAAAACGGTCGCAGCTTCAAAAGCTGTCTATTTAATGTACCAGTGAGTTACAAAGAACTCATTGGTGGGTCTTTCCTTACCATGTGTACACAATGTAAAAAAACTGTCTCAAAGTGTTATGGACATCATATATCATTATACGTTTTCCTAGACTAGACTGTAAGCAAGGGAGGTTGTCATTGCAGTACACTTACAGAGACGTTCTTGATGTGTTTTAAGCAATCTTGTAGAGATGCCACCAGTTCTGCATTTCTAAGGCTCATAAAGTAAGATACTGCCTTTTGTCTTTGTTGTAGAAGATCGATGTTTCTTGAGGGACGTAAAAACCACATTCTGTAGTTTACGGTTAAGAATAACAACATAATATAAAGCTTTAAGGAAGAAAGTAGGAATGCATAATTTATTTATTTAATAGATAATAATACATTATTTTAAAAATGATTTGACACTATATAAATGTTTTAGCATAATGTAAACAAGTAATTGAATCACAGTAACTGCAGATGCATTCTCTACAGATACATTTTCCAAAATGTATCGGCCATTCAGAAAAAGAAAAAAAAAAGGTTTTAGTATAATGATGAAAACCTCACAAAGTATAATTTTAGCCCGAGCAAACAATGCACACGAGTCTCTCTCATCACCTGAGCAATTACACCACAGGCAGACCACAATATGTGATTGTGGTTAACCCTTTATCTCCCATGAGTGACCGAGACAGAATTTCTCCTTACAATATCAATACAATATCAACCAGATTTGGGATAAGAATAAAGAAAAATATCACTTTCGGGATAATTAGTTGATCCAAAGCTAAATTCTCTGAACTCAGTAACATTATAAGAACTGTATGGTTGACAGTAAGGAGAAGTACAAAATTGATCTGGGAGTTAAGGGGTTAATAATTGTTAATGAGAATCTATGAGGGTTATGGATAAAGCTCTAACAATTACATATCTAAATTACATCTAGGTCGACTTATTTGTGACATTTTTTAGCCTTCCTGGGTCGTTTGAAGCGTCTTTTCACGAAAATACTTTCGGCCGGAAAGAAGAAGAGGAGACCCGTACTCTCTTAAAGGACTCCGGCCAAAAGTTACTTTGTAAAACGACGCTTCAAACGGCCCATGGAGGCGAAAAAATACCACAAATGAGTCGATTAACACACAATTTAACTTTAGTGAGATATTCAGACCTAGATGTAATTTAGCTATGCAATTTTCTGGGCTTTAATCATTACCCTTATATATTTTGTTCGTCTCATGTCAACAATTATTAACAACGAACACATAGCGTGGTCTGCCTGCGATTACACTTAGCGCTCTGGTACTAAAATCACAGAAGAAAAAGCTTCCAGTTTTGCAAATACATTTAGAGATCTAGACAAAGAAGCTTTAAAAGTGAGATAATACTCGAAGAGTTTAAAGACAAACCTCAACATATGACTCCCAATAGCAGATCTTGTTCTATTTGTAACGCCTAAAGGACAAATTGAATAATTATATTACCAAAAATTTTAAGGAAGTACCTCTTTCAGAAATAAATAGTAATATAAGGTCTAGCAACCGTAATATTACTATTTTATTAGTTGTAGCGAAAACGAAGACCACCGAAAACAAAGACCTTAGACCCGAGAACGCAGACCTCTTCATGACCTTGATACAGGAAGTGAAAAACTCGATGTTCTACTCGATGAAAAACAGTCAAAAGCTTCGCAACTTCTCTGCTCGCAACGTGACCATTCATCAGTTAAACGATTATATTAAACACTAAACCGAAGATCGCTTTATTTCCTTTCATTTTCCTATTTGATGCTTTCTTAATTTATTTTCGAAAATACCAGTGTCTGGCTTCCATATTTTAACCGCCGCTCCCTGACGTCCTCATTCTAACTAAAGATTAGAGTTTCCCAATTTCGACCCGGCTGACGCCAGTAGGTGTTATAGCGTTGCTTTTCTTTCGCACAAGCCGGTCTAGCTGGATAAATGCCATAATTTGGTATTTTCAGTGTTGCGCGAAGGTAGGTTTCCTTGCTTCTTCTTTATTTGGTTTTGGCCAAGCGGCTTGCGCAATGTCAGCACCACTCCGACTGCTAAAGCTTCTGGGCAAAAAGCCGCAGTTTGAATGCAATAAGCTTCAAATAAAAAAGCACATCGGCCGAGGAAGCTTTGGAGAGGTTTTTCTTATGAAATTCCGAATTACAGAAAAAGAGCCGACAGAAGAAAAAACGAATTATCGCGCGCTTTGACGTCAATGGATCGACTGAGAGGCCGTCAACTTAGCATTTTAAACGAACTTGTGCTGACTAGAAAGGTACAGTGAGCATTGGGAAGAATCCAATAAGTGAACGCGGTTCTTATAGGCACTTAGCGTATATCGCATCCATTATTATTATTGGAAAAGAAAATAAGGGGTCTTCGTTTTCGGGTCTTCGTTTTCGGGTCTTCGTTTTCGTGTCTTCGTTTTCAGGTCTTCGTTTTCGGGTCTTCGTTTTCAGGTCTTTGTTTTCGGATCTTTGTTTTCAGGTCTTCGTTTTCGAGGTCTTTTTGTTTAAAATCGGTGTTCAACTGCATCCTACATCGCTCTTAAAAAGACGAAAACCAGAGCTGAATATTTTCGGCGAGAAATCGTAACAAGATCATGTTAAATGAAGAAAATAAGGGGTCTTCGTTTTCTGGTCTTTGTTTTCGGGGGTCTTCGTTTTCGCTACAACCCTATTTTATTATCATTGAAGTCGCTTACAAATGCAAGAAAATTGTTTCAATTAAAATCTCTTTCATTGATATCAGTTCCTATAATCTCTCATCAATGAGATTAAATTCAAATGACGTTTATCACAGGAAAAAAAAAAAAAGGATTCTTCAAGTATCACAGGTACGCAAAATCGTCAAGGTCGACCAGGTCAAATTGTGCAAATCATGAGAGAGAAAGAAGCTTTTTAAGTGAAAAAGCTTGATAACATGGTGACAGTGCAGAACGTGCGGTGAAACACTGAGGTTACCGGAATTATTTACCAAAGAGAGAGAGTCCTTCCTTAGCACCACTGTTCCCTGCTCCCATCTTGTACACAGAGGGATGACTTTCCTTTTGAAAAATCTGCAAAGCACTTTAACAAGCACAGGAGCAAAATCAACTGACAGAGGATTTTGTAATGACTGTATTGTATACGACTGGCTTTGCAATAAAATATGCTACAGCTGTAGCTCACAAGTTATCTCCCTTTTCAGGCCTTGAGCTCAAAGATGTTTTGAATTATTTAGCATTATTTTTTGGGTATTTAGCTATTTATTCATTGAATAATATTTATTTATTTAAGGCTTTTTAGGATCTGAAGAATCTCTCTTCTTCAGAAGCTGCATTGAAGAGCATAACTCAAAAAATGCATGATTATCAGGTGAGTGCATGACAAGCTTTAGGGTTATAGAAAGACCCACACATGAGTGATCTAAGCTATCAATTGTCTAAAATAAATGCAATTGCAAACCTGTAAGTATTGTTATCCACAATGAGAAGATCACTCCTTTCATAAAGTCAAGAAGCATGACAATAATTAGGTTGACTAATTGTAGTCCAGTGAGAACAAATTTATAAATAGCATCATGCAAGTCACAAAGTGTTAACTGAAAGAAAATCTTGAGATCAATAATCATAATTATAGTTTCCCCACATAAGACACCAAAGAGCCAAGAAAACACCACATGAAAACAAGCAGGGTTTTGAGGATGGAGAACTAAAACAAAGACTGCAAATAATGAACAGGAAAAAAGATCAGGCTATTTTTTTTTCCAAATGCAGACCATGTGGTGTGATTCATTTGACTCACAAAATTTTGCAACATTCGGTACCTATTACCATATCATGCTATTGTTGTTCACACCAAGAAAAACCAACAGCATTAAAAATTGAGCAAAATTTAAACATATTAGTCAATCTGCCAAGGATTAAGGTTGCAACAGCTTGTCTTTAGTGTCATGGGATTTATTTGATTGGATAACTGGTAACATCAGTAAGGGCATGCAGGCCTATTGAATAAAGTGTTACGGGTAGGTCACCATTAATAATACTCCAAATAATCACAAAGTTACCATACTCACAGAGAAAATACTTTGAGTCCCAAAATAGGGACTCTCACTTCAGGATCATCCATTTCAACTCCAACTCGTTTCTTGTCTATGTATTTAATCAGTGCACCAGCACTTCGCACCTAAAGAAAGTTTGATTCATTATAAAAAACACTCAAAAGTGTAATTAAGGTCTTGTGCATGGAAAAAAAAGTGTAGTAGAGAGAGAGAAAGGGAAAAATGGAGATGAGAGGAAGGGAAAGAAAGCCTGAAGGGATTGACTCACAGAAGAAATGCAAAAGGATAACAGGAAAAAAGAAAAGACCAGAGAAAAACTCTATGAATAGGTAAGGAGATTATTTATTTTGAAGCAATTATCAAAACTTTTGGATTTAACAGAAAGTCTAAAATTACATGAATTGACAAGGAGTATAAAATTCCATTTCATACCATGCTGATGTTGTCAAATGGGACAAGTGAGCTCATATGTATTTCTCGCTCATTTTCTGTAAAGTGCTGTGGGATTCCTGGCAGGCATGCATTCAAAGCAGTAATCCTTCTCTTACAAACTTCATAAGCTACACAGGCCAGGAAACATGCATGATCAGTAGAGCATAGACAAGAGAAGTTTCCACATGATTAAATTGGAGCTCAAGTAACTGCCTGAAACACCTTGCTTTATGACATACATTGTAATTGCAACCATTAAATGCCTATCCAATGTTATTTCTGGGTAATAACTTGAAACAGTAGAAACCTTACTTGAAGTTTCAACCTTGTAATTATCACTTATTATGTGCCAACACAGCCATGAACAGAAAAAAGTGGGTAAAATCTCTAATTCAATGCTTCAATTTAACACTCAAGCTTTGAAACAATGCCAACCTTGCTGTCCAAGCTCAGTTACATCGCCTTAGCATTAAGTATAGGACATATTGAATTTCATTGAAACTTACAAAAATCTATGCTTGGAAGGATTTCAACTTCTGTTGTCTGACAAATTTGTTCATCATTGTTTTCACCTTCTGAAATAAAAACAAAGACCACTACCACCATTATTTTTGTGAATAAAATATCTTGGACTGTACACATGCTCTGATTGGTCAAAAGTTATCATACTTGTTTTGTCAAACCCATAGCTATTTTATAAAAGCATTGGACCGCACTTAAATAATAAAGTACTCTGGATATTAACAGAACAATCTTTGGGTTGTGGTTTATAAACTCTTACCTCAGGCTGATAAAGTGAGTTCCACTGGCTGAGTAATAATTAGTTACAAATAAAATAATGAACATAATAAAAATAATTAATAATAAATTATAAATATAATCATGTATATAATCATGTATCAAAGACGCACATGCATGATGCATACCTTGCCCATTTAAGATCTTAAGCAATCTTTCATCCTGTATTGCACTTGTTATGATGACACTGGCCTGCACCTGTTCTTTTACTGGAAAAGAAGAAAGTTGGTTTAGGTACCCTCCAAATTATGTTTTGCTCTGTTAACAACTATCACAAATAAGTGAACTGCTAGAGGTATCCAAACATTAGGATGCATATTATTAACATTTTAAACCCTATCATGAGTAATAATTACATGTTTCTTTACTTTTCTCTACACATTTCCTACAGTGCTGACGAAAGGAGAATTTGTTCAACAATCAAGAGCCTCTTTCATTGTGATTTGGTAATGATATTGATAAGCAATAAGGAGAGATTTGATTTTGGTCATTCTTAGGGGTTAAAGGGTGAATTCAAACCTATTCCAATAATTACCTCTTTTAAGAAACTGAAAATCATTTGTTTCTACCACATCCATTTGGAGATACAGTTGTGAAGTCTCTGTATCATAGTAGGAGGAACCCAAGTTTCCTTTACTCCAAACCACTGACAACACGCGCTGAGAAAAAAACATATTTAAGGTAAGTAAGTAATTGCCAAATAAATAGTTACTAACCTAGCACAATTGTCTCTTCCTGCGTTTTTTTTTTTTTTTTTTTTCTTCTAAAGGTTCTGGTAAGATTTCTGCACAGCCCCATATCAAAGTAAAACAAAGCCGTAATCGAAAGGCAATCTATTGTTTACATAATTTTTTTTCTTCATCCAATGCAAGAACTGTATGTATAGCGAAGTATGGGGCTGTGTGAAAATCTAACATGATTCTAATTGTCATTATTTCATTTTCTCAATTTTTTCTTTATTTACAAAAAGAAGGGAGAAGCAGATGAAATTTTTCACCTTTACGTCCAAAGCCGACGGACTATCATCTCCAATGCCAACAACATTTCCTCTCTGGTTCACAACATCATTCGCGTTCATACCCTCTTCTTCGTCCCTTTCAGATTCCGTAGCTGAAGGCCGCCTTCCGCTTGTAAAAATGTGTTCATTGTTCGTCGCCGGGCACGAAGAAGGCGTCTTTTGACGTTTAAAATACTGTCCTGAATTTTCCATCGAGCTGGGTCTTTTTGAACTGCGATCGATTTCTACGGTTGAGGAACTCCAACCCGTTTTTCTTGGCAACGCGTTTGAGCCTTCGGTCGGCGTTAAACAAGCGTCTGACGATGTTAAAGTCGATGATTGATGGCAAGTATTCATTCTTCCACATTTGATAGAGGACACCCGGTTATATTGCCGTTAATTTGCTTCTGTTTACATCCCTTTGGCAGCCGACGCGGTTAGTCAAATTTTCCCGCCTAAAACTTCTGTTACGTTTCTAATCTGTTTGGGTCTTGCATTCCTCATCTCAATGATTAAAAAAATTTTCCTAGCTTCCATACTTTCCACCATCAAAACCGACCAGTTCTCCTTGAATTATAATATTTACATCGTTGAGTATTTGAAAGAAATCTCAAGGAAAAGTCAACCTATCGCCTTACTAACTTGCGTTATTACTGACGAATGCGTGACCATTACGTTAAAAATCCTTCTGACTTCCGGTTTTACTCATCTTGTCCCGATTGTATCTTCAAAACAGATTATCCCATAAGCGGCCATCCAAGTTGATCAGAACGGTTTAGTTGTTTTCTTCACAACAATTATCTTCGCCAAATACCTGAAAGAGAAAATAAAACAAGAAAAACAAACCGAGATGAGTTATAGTGCCGATGTTTAAGACTGCGTGGTCGTTTGACGCAAACGTGTCGGCTTCTTGTCAATAAATATTTCCTTTCAGATACCGTTTCAGACAATTTTCCTGTCTAAAGCTTCATCTTCCGATTGTTTCCTGTTTGATTTAATGACACACCCTCTTAAATATACAACCGTTTGACGTTTCGTATGGCTCAGGAGGGGAGTGGTATTTCTTGTACCAATATGACCATGCCACTTACATGTATGCGGAACCAGTTAACGTGATTGAGGAAAAAACACTTAAAGGGACTGTCAATGTTATCTCTAAGTGTAAGGTATCTATGCCCCGTTCTTTTTTTTTTTTTTCGCATTTCTCGTAGTCAAGAATTTCCTTCGCTTTCTCAGACATCTTTTTTTGTTTCTCCCCCAGGGGTTCTTTGTGGTCGCTTTTCTTCGTCCCTATTTTTCATTTTCTAATTTCTAACCTCCCCCGTCCACATGTTAAACTGAATAAAATGATCCATATAGAAGAGGAACCCATCAAATTCATTGAAAATGAACAAAACATGACACTAATATTTGAAACTGACCATGGTCACTACCTCTGTTTTCAGGATAGAGAGAAAGTCACAACGAGATGGAATTTAAACGGTTTAAAATCAACTTAAGCGGTTCTGCAATCCCAAATTTCGATAGTCGTAAATCGGCCAAAAAAATTAAGCAACTCCATCATGAGACTTTTATCAAACGAAAAAAAAACCTTAGAGGCAAGGTCAAATACGAATTGACTTTCATGCTCCACCGAATTTGAAATGGTAAATTCGTTATTTTCTACAGTTTCTCTCTTTAAAATTTACGTCAGATTTGTGAATATTTTCATGGCATTTTGTTCGGTTTTCTAGACAGCATAAACTTCCCGTGCTCCATCCGTTTATGTTGTAAACAAAACAACATATCAGTACCAAAATGGTTCAAAATGTAAACAATATACTAGTTTAAATGGTCTAAAACTTGATATTAGCATATTTAACAACAAACATTTCGCTTTGGAAGAAAAACAAAACTAATTATATATCATTTGTTTTCGCAAATTCCACTCAAAAACTGTTTGGGTGAGCCGAAGTTTATATTTCCAAATCAGGATTTTTTTCTTAATGAAAATATTTCTGAATCGTGACCTTCTTAAATACGCGACTGGCAAATCGTAATTTCATGGCCATTTATGGAAATGCGGCAAGGCTAATTTCAAAGTCCCACCTGCCCTTTACCGAACACAAAAAAACCTTGAATATTAAAAATTCGAAGCACGTTTAGTAGAGAATATAAACTGCGGCTTTTTCTTCAAGAAATGATAGAAAAATTTGAAGTTTCGGATAAAGATATTTGATCGTCAGTTGTGAAATCGATGCAGAAATTTCCATGTAGGTGGAAACATGACGCTTCGAGTTGATGCAGTTTAGTACGTGACATTTGAAAAATAATCACATATGCAATAAAACGAGAATTAAATTTGAAAAATTTGCACCCCATAAAATGTACTGCCACCACTTACAAGCTTGATGAAGAAATCAGATAATCGTATGAAGATGTGATGTTGCAAAATGCATTTCCGGTGACAGAACGAAATTTGAAACTAGTTATTGTCCTTGGCACGCGTCATCCGTTGCAATTCGTCACGCTTTTTGCTGCAAGGGGCGTGAATACGAATCGGAAAGGATGAAAGAACAAATAACACAGCCTTGCAGTTTCTCGGAATAATAAATATCTCAAAAACCGAAAGAATAGAAGGAAGTTGTTGAAAAATAGGTGCGACTAATTTCCTTCTGATTATAAATTTTGGTCGCAGTTTCCCGCAAAAACCGACGCTTTCTTTAAAAAAAAAAAGAAGTGTCATAAAATATCGATTAAACTTTTTTCTGAATGCCCCAATGCTCTTCATAATGTTCCGGGAAACTTCTGAGCAGAGTTAACATTTTCGAAAACGACTTTTTACAAATGTTTGCGTCGATTTGTTTTCACCATTCAAAGAGATGAATCAATTTGTCGCCTTTCGTAATCGTTTTGTTTAATTTGAATCAAATGCCATAGTTTCGTGATATTCTTTCGCGCAGGAATATTCCACAATTCTCAAGAAGTTCTTTAATCGAAAATTCGCGCTACCGGTTGTCACCTAGGAAATGGCTGTTTTGTTTTCGGCATGTTTTCTAACTGACGTCATTCGCATTAGTTTGTGAGTCACGTGCGGATAAGAGTAATTAGAACGAACCAATGATCACTCGTTAAAGAACAAAGTTCATCGTCTCGACCAATCGCCTTTGAGATGACATATGCGAGACGAAAATAGAATATGACTCAAAAGCATATATGAATGGTTTGCAACGGAAATAAAAGTTGCGTACTTGTAAAACGTTCAAGCGATCCTGAAATCTCACAGTCAGCTAAATCGTCTGTATTTTTATCAGACTCACTTCGTGAATGGAAGCATCATTCTATGACGAACAAATTATGCCCGCAACATCGAGTTCTCAGAGTGCGACGTACGACAAAGGCAACTTGAAGCTTGATTTTACGTCGCCGAACGCGCGGAGGCAAACTTCGCTGGAAGGCGCATTATTGACTTCTCCTGATTTGAATTTGCTAACGTTGGGTTCCCCCGAGCTGGAGAAATTGATAATGGGTTATGGAGGAATCTTGACCACTCCAACACCGACTCAGGTGCTCAAGGGAACGTCATCTGTAACGGAACAACAAGAATTATATGCGCGAGGATTCGTGGAGGCGCTTCAAAGATTACATGACCAACAACAAGAATCAGGTGGACAAACCACTTCGCAAAGCGTTGTGAATACAAACGCTTTACTACTGAATGCTTTGAATCAATCGTTTGCCACAGCAGCGATAAATAATACCACTAGTACAGTAGCAGCTACAACACCGATGCTTGCTTCGGGCACGTCCATAATTTCGACGCAATCACTTCCGTTGGTTTCGCTGTCCGGAGCGACTCAAATTTTCCCAGACTTTCAAAGGACCTCTGTGGCTACAACACAACCCAGCACAAGCTATGCGACATTAAACATACAGAACCCACCTCAGCAACCGCAGTTGGATAACGTTAAGTTAGAAAACGAATCTCAAGTCGTCCCCGGAACGCCGCCTCTTCCACCGATCGACTTGGCGTTACAGGAAACAGTTAAAAACGAAAGAAAGAAGCAGAGAAACCGAGTCGCTGCTTCAAAATGCCGCAAACGAAAGCTAGAAAAGGAAGCCGATTTGGAAGTTAAAGTTAGCAACCTTAAGAGCATCAATTCTCAGCTACACACCGAAGTTTGCGAACTGAGAAAGCAAGTTTGTCAGTTAAAGATACAAGTTATGGATCACGTGCAGGGCGGATGTGAAATCATGCTACAAAAACAGACCTCAGGAATAGTAGTTTCTACCTCAGCTTAGCTTGTCAATCCGTTAAAAGAACAGTGGATTTTGTAGAGAATTGCTGAAAATGTCTCGTTTACGGAAAGAAACGTTTGATCGCTCTTTCACGACCGTCTGATCGTGAGAGCCAGAACAGACAGATAACCGGAACTTCGCAATCAAACCACGTGGAGCTGAGATTTGAGCTGGTTTTTAAAACAGGATTGTCTATTTAGCGAAGAAGAGAACTTCACAAATCGAACTTAACATAACCATACAGTCATGGAACGGCTTCAGCTAGGAAAAAAGTAGCATGATATGTTTTCACAAACAGTTCGGTTTGTCATTAAAAATATTGGAGATTGCATTGTAATCCTTATATTACGTACTAACAGCGGATGTTCTGTCGCGTTTGTTGTAGTTAGTTTCATTCATTCCCTCATTCATAGTTAATTGAAAGGCCTGAGAAATATTCAAGGCCAGTAATTTATACCTAGAGTATCCTTATTTATTTTACGATCAGGATGTCAGAATTCGAAAGAAACGGATGAAAGCTTTGAAAGTAAAAATCTTATTATGGAAGGAACAGTTCACATGACGATCTGTACGTGAGCTGTGAACGGCAATCAGGAAACCGTATTTGCAATAATGTTCACAAATATATAACGTTAACAGTATAAGAAGTACAAAGTAGCAAATATTTAAAAGATCTTGACTGTAAAAGGCTTCGTTCAACTAAGAAAAAAAATAGTAAATTCCAATATCCTAAGTGATTGACTGATAAGATCGACTTGCAGTGTACGACATGTGTCAAGTGCTGTAGAGTTTTTACGAGTGTTATAATATATTTCACTTTAGAAGAACGTTTTTGTTATGTTTTTTTTGTATTTTGTGGAGATGGGATCGCTACATGCAAAGGAAAATGAAAAACAGGAAGATGGTTTATCACAGAGGGGTTTTCCCTGTTAATTGGCCTGTGGGAAATTCCCTTTTAAAACTCAAGGGCAATCTGTTCCATGAAATTCCACAGCCACATACTCCCTCACACAGGAAGTGCAGGAATGTGCGTTTTTCTTATCAGTGATAAATGGCAAGGAATTCAAATTATCTAAAAAGTTATTGTACATTTGCAATCGGTGAATAACATTAGCAAGATATCAGACCTAATAATAGCCACCCAACAGGAAGGGTGTGACATCCCTGTATTGTGCCCAGTAGGGAGTGGGGCAGGTCTTGAGATAGGGTTGTAAAGACCAACCTCAAATATGAAAATATTTTTCAAAAAAACCTTAGGTCAAACATAATGAAGACATACTTTTACCAATGTTGATTCCAAAGCAGATATCTGGCACCATCTGAATGGAAAAAAAAATTATTTAGCTAAGTTCCTTGATTTAATAATTTTCAATAATAATGTCACTGCCCTCTCCCTTGACACTTCCTTGCCCTTTTTAACAACCACTTAAACCCTTTACACCCTAACATCAGAATGCATATTCTCTATACTGTTCTTTATACATTTCCTAAGGTGTTGACAAGGAGAATTTCTTTACCGATCAAAAGTTTCTTTTGTTGATGATCATTTCTTTTATTCTCATGACCTTAACATGTGATTTGATGGTGATATTGCAAGGAGAAATTAGATGCTAATCAATCTTAGAGGTTAAAGGGTTAACCCCTTAACTCCCAAGATCTAAAGTTGCTACTCGTTTCCTCATAAATTAGTTGTGAGAACTGGTATTAGATCAAGATAAAAACTTGATAAGTTAGAGTATTCTTGTTACCCATTTGCTGGATAATGAATGGATATTATAGAAAGTAGTTATGTCTTGATCACTTCTGCTGGGAGTTAAATGGCTAAAATAGCTCTGTATTGGGAGTAGTTGTTTTAGAGGGCAGGCACATATAACATTCAAGTGGCAATTTGTCGACATGTTCTTCAAACTTATAACAAAATATTACATGGTTATATTTGACTTCTATGACCAAGAAGTGTAACCTTGAAGTAATATATAACGGCAGCGGAGAATTGCAAGTACTGAAAGCTTGCATGCGTCAAGTCTTCCTTAGCTGGTCATGATCAATCTAACCCTTAAGTTCCCAAAATTTCATTGTTTAAATTCTCCCTACTGTCTACCATACATTGCAATGTTAGTTCTGAGAAATTGCTGTTAAAAAATATCAAAATTGGTGGAGGGCCATAGCACAAATATTATCAACTAAAAGAAGTTTTTGCAAATTTTTCGACAAAAAAATCAGTTTTAAGAACTAAATTGCATAGTTACGAGCATCAATCTAAGTCTGCCAAAAAGATAAGCTCTGATTCAAAAGGTACGCTATTGAAGAAAATGAAAGCCCTGAGATAAGCTTTTAGTGAAAATGGACACATAAGAGGTGTATTACTCATGAACTTAATTTTAAGGTAAGAAAATGAAATGAGCATTTTACTTTTTCGCTAGAGAAAATCTCAAAATTGTTGTCATCTGCCAAAATAATCAACACATTCAATTGTAAATTTGTTTAATAAGCATCATCTTTAAAGGGATCTCTCATTTGATGCATCATCCCTCCGACTGCCTTACACCTCAAACTGTTCACACTCACAAAAAAATCTCTCCTACTCTCCAAGACAGTTTTGCAAACATTATATAATAATAATAAACTTTATTTACATGTCAAATAAGATAGCAGTTTCCCACTAAGTAAGGACACCTAAACTAAACTAATCTAATCTATATAAAACTATGCATTAAAAATTTATTGGAATATGATAAGAGCTCTTCCCATATAAAACTACCCTACCCTGAAATAGTAGACCCCATGTTTATAATACCCTACCCTGTATAATAAGATAATAACCTTAATATAATGAGATAATAAGATAATAATTACAATAATATGATCTTGATAATATTTAAAATATTTAAGATTTACATAAAATACAGTTCTTGCAATTATTCGAAGAGATTAAACTTTGTATATCTACTTTATGTAAAGCGTTTTTAAATTCTTGCAGCGTTCTTAGTATAATTACACTGTTATATTGTTATAACAGAACCCTCTGACCCCTTAGTGTGATTAGCATCCTATTTCTCATTACAATTTCACCTCTGAATCAAACATCAAGTCAGAAGAATGAGGGAAATGATCACCAACTAAAGCTCTTGATTGTTTAACAAATTCTTTTTGTCAGCACCTTAGGAAATGCATAAAGAACCATTGTGGGGGATATGAATTCTGATGTTAGGATGTGAAGGGTTAATTCAGATATTCCCCTAAAAGTAAAACAGATTATCATTTTTACTTGAGTAAGTACCCACTCTCTCAGCCATAATGTCAAACAGGTGACTCCCTTAAAGAAGCAACCCTTCCTTCCCCACTTTCTCAGAAACTAAGGATACAAGGAAATCACTTCTCTGTTACAACTTTTTTAGCTTCAATCACAGTGGAATCAGTACACATGAGCAGTTTCATTTTTGTTGGACTTATCTCTTTCTCAGTGTGCTAGCAGAGTCCTTTAGGTGCATTTTATGTTCTTTTAATTTTTATATTTTTGCTGCGCCGATTTAATAAGCACCCCTCTCTTCTAATTCTCCTCCGTCAAAAAAATACCCCTCTTCTTAGAAGAAATATGGTGATAATCAGAAATTATTGAACAAATGTAAACAAATGGGAAAACTCAAAATTTGCTACAGCTGCAAAAATTAAGCATAGCAAGTTTCTGACAGCTAGCCACCTGAAATTGTAGCATTTACATCATGGTAGCGAGGTTGGGTAAGGGAATTAATTATAATAGGGGTAAACACCACAATTTGTAGGGATAACCTTCACAACAAGAATTAAGAAAATTCCATGAGAAATTGCAACAAAAAATAAATAAATTTCGTCAACAATATGCAATTATGACCTATCACACGAGAGCTTACCAAGGGCCATCGTGCCAATAAAGCCGAACCCTCCATTTTTATAAGCTCCACAGAGTGCATCAAGCGGATTGAAAGTTAATGAATCATTCTGAATAATCTTTGATTTAGTTATTATTTTGTGCTGGCCTGCGAGCGCTGCAGAGCAGACCCGACGATTTGAGAAGAAGCGGGGGTCTAGCACTAAAAATGCTACTGCTGCCTACCTTTACAGATCTATCGCCGGCTTCTCTAATCTTATCTTTTCTATAAGGCCTTCACGCTAGTTAATATTTTTCAACTTCCATGAAGGCTTCCCTGTTCTTGTTACGTACCGATATCCTTTCTGACCACGTCTCCCTCACGCAACTAGAGAGTTTAAGATACTCTGGACGGCTGACCTCGAGGACGGCTGACCGGAAGTAAATTTCGCGTGTAGACCACAATGCGCATGCCTGGTCCACGCGGATTGCAGTCCTGTTTGTGCCGAGGACGCGAGAAGTGGTGTTTTGCTGTCCACCAGTCAACGTGAGTACTGTTACTATTATTTCCCCATAAACTTCCGCATGTTTTTAGATTTTCGAACTTCATTAGGTTAACATTGTTTGTCACTTTTTTGTTTTGGGCAATAAAACCACTGACAAGCTGGTTAAAATTGTAAAAGTGATGTGCACTGTGCACAGCCACGGTGGAGCATTTCGACTGAACACGTGCGTTAAATTTCTTGCTTTACTAAAAAAAAGTCCCTAGCACTTGAACCTGCTTATCCTCTGAGTGAAAGATGTCTTATCTTGTATTAAACTTTAATCTACACGGTCCAAATGCTTTTCCCTTGGTCAGTTAGGAGCGAGAAATCAGAGAAATTGTTTTATCTGCCTTCTCTTTATTTACAGGATTAGCGAGCATGGAATGGAAGGAAGAGCACGATCTCCTTCTCTGCCGGGAAATACTCGTCTGTCAGCCATACAAATTCAAAGAAAGAACGGTTGAAAGAGGCAAAATTTGGGAAGAAATTTCGAATCACCTTAATACCTGTGAGACCGCCAAATTCCGTGTAAACAAGCGATCTGTAAGAGAGCGATTCAAATTGATCAAGGAAAAGTTTAAGCGTAAAATTCGAGAGGAGGAAAATTCGTCGGGGATTGACGTGGAACCCACTTCGGAGCTCGAAACTCTAAACTCTTCATCCGTCAATAGCCCTTCCGCGTAAGCAATAACAATCATTTCTCGAGTCTTTCTTAAAGATGCCATGATGAACAAAACGTTGTCGTCCTCAGCTTGAAATCTGCTCCTTAACGTGAAAAGTTTCCCGCCAAGGTAGTCGTCATCGACCCCGTCCCTCGCGCTCAATTTTAACGTCCTCGAGGTCAGCCGTCCAGGTATCTTAAACTCTCTACTATGTGAGCACAACACGTGAGCATGAAGTATCTTTTGCGGCGAATTTGTGTACATCTTATTATCATAACAATATATACAGCCGAAGCGTATCAATAGTATATCTTTGTAGGCATTTCAGTGTCTAGTATCATAGAGTTTACGGTCACGCACTGACACCATTTCTAGACCCTTCTCCCTCAGACGATTATGGGCATGCATTTTTGTTCCCGCAAATTTGTTTACATCTTGCTACTAACAACATGCAGCTGGCACGTTTATTCAATCATCTTATTAGACATTTTTTAGTGAGTAGTATCACTGAGTGTGTTAACGATTTGCACCGTATTTTGACGAGCCTGAGGGGCGAGTCAAAATAATGAGTAAAAATGCTCAGTGATTCTACGCACGAAAACTAATAATATTCTATTTACCATCCAACTGCTTTATCTTAAGGCAGGAAAAGCAAAGCAGATAGCACCCACGACCGACCGGTTAAACAGGTTTTCTTTACAGTACAAAATAACCAAATGTACAGTATCACGTGATATTTGTACTCGATTCGGAATTGGGTGGTATAGTAGTAGCAGAGATTTTTCGTCATTCACAATGGCTGGTGATGTAAGGAATATTATCAACTACCAAAGATATCCGATTGCTGAGTCTAAGAGCCACATTCTCCAAGAAATTATAAGCCGTGCTAGAGGTGAACTGAACGACAATGGCATTGCCTTGTTGCGGGATTTTATGCTTCCTTGGGCTATTCGCCAAACAATCATAGACACAGAAGAAGCCTTACCAGATGCATTTTGTAAAGCAGTTGATCACACGGTCTATCTTGAGGAATGTCAAGATTCTGTCCTCGAGAAAGATCACGCGAGGAATATATTGTGTCGATCTTCAAAATGTTGCATCGCAAACGACCAAATCAAGACAAACTCGCCGCTAAATCAGCTTTATATGTCATCGGAGATGACAAATTTTGTTCGACTTTTGCTAAACAAAGACGCGCTTTATCGTACAGCTGATCCTTTGGGGGCCTTAAGCTTGCAGGTCTACAGGAAAAATGATGGCCTTGACTGGCATTTTGACCGGGGGGAGTTCGCTGTGACACTTCTCCTTCAAGCACCAGAGGGTGGGGGACGTTTTCAATACATTCCATCAACAAGGTAAGAGTTAGCTGTTGTATCAGAGGTGCCTTAAGGGGCAAGAAAAAAGACTATTCAAGTTGGCCACCTGTCTTATCATTAAAGTAGACTATTCCAAGACCTTGGTTAGTGAAGATGTCCAAAATTTAAATATAAATTATCGTAAATAAGGGATCTTACTTATTTACCTGCTTTCTTGGTAAACAACCCTCCCTGGTTGTCAGAAAATGGCAATTTGCACATGCACTGTTTTTTTTGTCCTCAGCGATCAAGAGTCTTGTTCTGGCTCAAATTATCAGGCTTATAAGAATTCTTGCTCCTGGATTTTGCATTGTTAGTGATCATATTGGTTCTCTCAGTGAACAAATCACCTTCTATGGAAGCAGAAGCTTATATTATGAGTTTTAAATCCCTTAAATCCCAGAAGTGATCAAGGATTGGCTTCTCCCTTAAGTATCCATACATGTATATTATCCAGCACACCAGTAATGAGAATACTCTGTTGCATCCATAGAAATTGTTATGTTTATCTACCACAAATTAATAATAATGATGATGATGATGATGATGATGATGATGATGATGATAATAATAATAATAATAATGACTTTATTGGATTACACAATTACTGGTTGAACCAGAAGTTCTCATTGTGGTCCTTAAAAACTTCAATTCAAATAGCAAAAATACGAAGAAAAAGTACAATTAAAAATTATAAATTAATTAAAAATTTCTGCTCATAGTAAAATTATCAACTCTGGAGTTCCGATCTATATATTTCTTCTATAGTTGATTTTTAAATTTACAAAGGGAAGTGAGACCCCTAGTAGTACTCAGGGTGTGAAATTAACTTTTTTTTCAGATAGCCACTTGGCTCCTAAATTCTTCAAAGTGGTAGCCAATTCAAAAAAAGTTGGCCGCCATTTTCAAAGACAAACAAAATCTTTCTTTACGCTGTCAGCGTTCTAGAAAGACCCTCCCAAATTTAAGTTAGGGAAAAGATCTTTAACGTGCTACAAAGTGGACACTAGGATGGATGATATACAACATTCAGGCTTATCTAAATCGAAGATGGCGTCTGGTTATCGATCGAGATGCATGTGCTACGTTTTGGAAACAAACTTATCGAGGAAGTTTGCCACGGATTTATCTTTTCAAATTTTTTAAATTCACTATATCTCTTGGTAAGGTTATGATGAAACGTTCTAGTCGCCAATTTGACGACTAACTTTCAGGATTTGGTCGCCAAAGTGAAAAATTAAGTCGCATTGGCGCCTGTATTAGGCGCAATTTCACGCCCTGGTACTGTCTTGGTTGTTCCATAATCTAGTGGCACTTGCATGAAATGAATGTTTGCTGGTCATGGTGCTAAAGATGTTGACATCCTAGTTGTGTAATGATGTCTATATTTAACATAATGAATATAACAATTAACAAATATATTACACAAATTCCTGTAGTTTATGATTTAAAAGGAAATGTGTAGCAGCTAGAGGGGAGAATAACCCTTTCGCTCCCAAGATCTAATTAGTAATTCTCCTTACTATCTGCCATACTATTCTTATGATGTTAGTTCAGAGAATTTGGTATTGGATCAACTAATAATCCCATAATTCATATTCTTCTCTATTCTCATCACCTACCTGCTTGATATTGTATTTATATTGTAAGGAGAAATTCTGTCTTGGTCACCTATGGGAGTGAAAGGGACAATCAGATCTTGGGAGTTAAAGGGTTAATCCATCTAAGTGTTGCTAATCTGAATTTATTTCTACCTGGAAGCAAATGAAAATTGAAGTAACAAATTATCTCTCTTTTACAAATAGATCAGATGGTAATGAAAACTATGACTTGGTCAAGCAAGTGCTACTGGCTTCTAAAGCTGGAAAAGATCTATCTGTTCTTGGGATGAAAGAGGCTGACCTTCAGCCAGGAACACTCGTGATTTTTTGTGGGCATAACTCGATGCATCGCGTCACCCCTATTGAGGGAAAAAAGTCCAGGATCATAACTGTTTTATCTTACGAAAAGAGACCTGATGTTTACTTAAATGAATACACTAGAATGAAATTCTGTGGGCGCTTGAAATAAATATACCCACAGACTAATTAGGTGGACCTGTAAATAGAGATTTTGGCTCTTACTTGATGTAGAAGACACAGTATATGTCACACTATTGTTTTCATTGTTGTCTTATTTCCAGTTGTGATGAAATTCTATTGTGACGTATACTGTGTGTTACACTAAGTAAGAGCCAAGAATTTCTAGTCCAGTGATCACTTTCTCCCACATTTCTTTGGCAATTCTTAGGTTTTTTCAACTATTGTCCTTATAATGATCCATTTGAAAAGTGGATTCTATGTTGCTGTGGGAGTATTCAGTAACAGATCACAGATGATGTCAAAATGTGGCCACAATAATAACTGGGACATTTGAAGCATTTTTTTTTTTTGTTTTCTTTCAAAAAGGATAGCAACTCAACAAACTCTCATTACCTTACTCCTAACCTCCTTTCCTCCCCCTCCTGCTCTGCACCTACATTTCTTACTCACTTTTCAGGAGGTGTGGGGGGAGGCAGAAACAAGCTTTCAATTCATGAGTGGGGTAGGGGGGCTTTTGCACAGGTCTCCACAGGAACTAGAGTAATTTATTGTTACATAAAATTTGATGGGAAGAAGCCATTGAATAAGAATCCTGAAAGATTAGACTCCAGAACTAAGGAACAACAAGATATTTTTATATGTAAAATTTCAAGGACAATGAGCACTTGTGACTCGATTGATGGTCAATGAGAAAACTTTACTACAAACTGAGTGCCTCTCTGTGAAAGTTTTTACTAAGTTTCCTGAGATGACATTGCCAGAATAATGCCACGAAATTTAAACCGTCCATTTTTATGAGTTGACCGTAATGAACACAGTGGAATTTAAAGTGAATAATACATTTTAAAAAAGCTTTATAAATAATGCCTATTGTACGTAATGCGCAGACAAAAGCCTTCTATGCTAATTGTGGAGGTGCCCCACGCTATCACCCCCTCGAACACGTGACTATTCGAGCATGCAGTATGTGTTCAGCGGGTTTGTTTACGTTGCAAGATCCAGCAAGGGAAAAATCATGTGATAATTTACTCAAACTTGTCCAGAAACACTAGTCGAATAAGCACGTATCTCTATAATTCATAATGGCAAGTGATATTAGGAATATTATCGACTACACAAGATATCCAATTTCTGAGTCTGAGAGTCCCATTCTCCAAGAAGTCATCAACCGTGCAAGGAGCGAACTGAAGGACAACGGAATCACCTTGTTGCATGGTTTTATGCTTCCTTCGGCTATTCGTCAAACAATCCTAGACACGGAGGAAGCCTTACCGATTGCGTTTCGTGGAACAGTTGACCACAGTGTCTATCTTGAGGAATGCAAGGAAAATTCTGTCCTCAAGAAAGATCACGCGAGGAACATTTTGTGTCGATCTTCAAAATGTTGCGTTGCGCACGACCAAATCAAGACAAACTCGCCGCTGAATCAGCTTTATATGTCACCGGAGATGACAGAGTTCGTTAGAATTCTTCTTCACAGGGACTTGCTCTACCGAACGGCTGATCCCCTTGGAGCCTTAAATGTGCACGTCTACAGAGAAAATGATCAGTTGGATTGGCATTTTGACCGGGGGAAGTTCGCTGTGACACTCCTCCTTCAAGCACCAGCGGGTGGGGGATGTTTTCAATACATTCCATCAACAAGGTAAGTTTTTCCTATCTCTTCACCTCTTCTTTTCCTATCTCTTCTTTACTTTACAACTGTCCAACCTCACCCTCCTCTTCTTTAGTAACCTTGAAATATCAACCCAAGGGGAGAGGGGAGAAGGTAATAATTTGACATTTCACTCACTTGGGGAGTGAAAAAATACTTGAGGAGAATCTGCTGCCTCTGCCATGACATCTGCCAAGGGTTATAAATTCTGATCATCTTGGATAAAGATGATAAACTGTAGGCCCTGTTTCCTGTATCTCCTCTGTACTGGTTAACAGGGGACATGAAAGAATCCATGTGCTTCTCACAAATGGTAGGGAATGTAACCTCTGATGTTGTGTTTTGGTCTTGATTCCAAAATTGGGGCTATCTGATTAAAGTCCCCCACCAGGTGTTGTGAATTAACTCAGAATACCCTCCAAGGAGGAGAGGTAACAAAAACAAAAAAAACTTCTTTACTTCTGAGTAGACTGAGCTCCCTGACAGTATGTGGTTGAAAAAAAAATTACATAAAAATACAGGCCTGTCTTGTTGTTAAGTTTCAAATGACTAGTAGATTTCTTCTAAAACAATTGGATTATTTACCCTCCATTTCTGTGCATAGTAGTTGATTGGGACTTTGTTTGCACTTATCAGCTATCACATGATAGAAATTTCAAGCTCATAATTGATTTGAACTAAATGAGATGTACTTCTTAACCCTACCACTCACAGAAGTAATTAACCCTTTAACTCTTGTTTGGGACTGATATAGAATTTCTCTTTAAAATATCTTTACAATATCAACCCGATAAGTGATGAGAATAAAGAAAAAGATCAATTTGGGGAAAATTAGTTGATCCAGTACCAAATTCTCTGAACTAACATAAGAATTGTATGGTTGACAGTAAGGAGAATTACAAATTTGATCTGAGAGCTAAAAGGTTAACAGGTAACTTCTCTCTCTAATATCCATACTTTAACCAGCTAACAGATAATGAGAATACTCAAACTAATTAGGTAGAAGTTGTTATCCTGATCTCTCACCAAATTCTCATAACTAATTTCAAGGCAGTGTTTGACAGCTAGAGGAGAGAATTAATAATCAGATCCTAGGATTGAAAATATCAGCTCATCCTTTGGCCAGGAAGTATGTTAATCAAATGAGCTGACAGAAAAAACAAACAAACAAACAAACAAACAAAAACAGCTCATCCTTCTTCAACTTCAAATGATTAATGAAATTCAAACTATTACTGTTAAATATAGATCTGATGGAAGTGAAAGCCATGACCTAGTCAGGGAAGTGCTATTGGCAACTAAGGCTGGACAAGATCTGACAGCTCTGGGGGTGAAAGATGCTGACCTGCAGCCAGGAACACTAGTGATATTTTGTGGGCAAAACTCAATGCATCGTGTTTCCCCAGTTGAGGGCAAAAAGTTCAGAATCCTTGCTGTTTTATCCTATGAGCAGAAAGCTGATGTTCACTTGAATGAATACACACGAATGAAATTTTTTGGGCGCTTGAAATAACATAAGTCACATCTGTAAATGATATTTTTAACTTTACTGATCTTTAGAATGTGGTTTACCGTTGAACTAAATTCAAAAAGATTTTTTGTTTTTTTGTTTTTGTTTTTGTTTTTTTGTTTTGTTTGTTTGTTTTGTTTTTTTTAATGTTTCAACGTATGGACATTGTTAGTAACTGATTGTCTGTTTTTTTTTCATAATCCAGGACTTTTTTCAACACCCAATTGAAAATTGTTCTGAGGACCAGTTTTAATACAGGTGTGTATAAAAGTAGCAATTCCGCGCCATCGTTCACCAGGGAAATTACCATTTCTCTTAAAATTGTAGAACGGAAGAAGATTTTATAGTTGCTAGGGATGCTTTAGTAAAACTGGTTTTTTCATAAGTATCTGGCATCATGGATAACACAGTGGCAGCTTGCAGACAGACCCTCAAAATAAAAATATAGGATTAATGGAGGACAAAAAGAATGACAAGATGGGCGAAAACACTGGGAACTAATGGCTGGGGGGCCACACCCAGTCACTATATATCATTGGTAAGCACAATGTGGTTTGATGAGTCAAAGGTGTGGTTACCCCGGAGAAGCGTCGGGGAGAGTGCGCTTGTGATTTCGTCTGCATGGTGTAAGAAATATAGAGCCGTCTATCTCACCCTTTTGACCGCCACTTACCTCAACACTGCGCTTCGTGAGTCCACAACATTTTGATGGCGAATATCGTTGTCGATGAGAGTACAGACCACGTTTGACCACTTTCGATTTTGTTGTCGTTGTCGTTTTTGTTTTTTGTTGTTGTTTTGTTTTATTATTTTTTTTGTACCACAATATCGAGGTCAAACACTGAAACGATTCTTTCAATGATAAAGGCATTGTGTGATACGTTGACATGAGTACCATTGTTTGTACTCTTCTCGACAAGGGCCAATCAGATTATGCATGGCGAGAAGTCATATTAGGATAGGTTATAACCGAAGTTCCAGCACCTATCGTTGATTATATTGGCCCAAATTGTTATGTCAAAATAAATTTCGATTATTTTAATATCTGACATGGTTTGATGCTACTCTGGTTTAAAGATTAAATGAATGTAACACCGAGAAGTTACAATTCATAGGCCTAACGTTTCGACACTCCTGTCTAGTGCCTTCATCAGTAAAACTCAAAGGAAAGTTTAAAAAAATTTTGCTTGATTCGAAAAAAGCTTGTAAGATTAGCTACTATACGTACAAAATGTTATACAGTAGTTACGGCTTATGTCCACGTTTTTATGGCTTACCTAAAATCCATAAACCGGGAATTAATAATAACCTTTATTTGTTACCTTTGGCGATAAGAATTACGGTAATATTACAATAAAAATTCAAAACACTACATATTATATAATGATATACATATCAAATCAAGTTAAGTTTAGCACCCCTAGGAACAAATGATTGTTTGTGCCTAACAGTGCGTGATACAGGTATTCTGAGGTGCGCTGGGTTAGTCTTACAAGATCTTAGATTATGGCCATGATCCACTGGCTTTTCTAAAAAACGTTTACAAGGATGTGCTTCAGATTCTAGGATACGTTTAAATTCTTTCCTCGTCAAATTCTGACGCCTAGTTACAAGTGACTCAACAGAATCCCTAGGGAGACCAATGACATTCAGACATCTATTCTGCACTCTCTGTAGATCTTCTTCGAGGTAAATGGGCAGCCCTCCCCAGACAGGCGAGGCATATTCTAAAACAGGTCTAATCTTAGTGATGTAAGTTGTAAGACCAATGTCCCTGGGGAGACGGGCTGTTCTACAGACCCTAAGATAGTGAATCCGTTTACACGCTTTGCTGACAATACTCGAGACATGTGTATTCCACTTGAGATCTTTCTGTACATATACACCCAGTAGGTTAAACTCTGAAACCCTCTCCAGCTCAGTAGGCCCGATATTAATAGGAGCAGGAATTTGACAGGACTTTTTGAAGGTGATCCACATATCTTTGGTCTTTTTAGCATTCAGCTCCATTTTATTCGGCTGCACAGCACATCTTTCCAAGTGAGTCACAGCATCCTGCATTTGACTGACAGAGTCCTTAAAAACAAGTTCTTATAGGGTGCAGTCATCAGCGTACTTGCAAGTGGATACAGGTATTCCCCTGGGGATGCAGTCCTCAATATCGTTGACATGCACATTAAAAAGTGTAGGAGAAATGACACCGCCCTGAGGTACACCAGCAATCACCTCACCATGTCTGGAGAAGACTCCCGAGAGCTTAAACTGCTGTGTTCTGCCTGATAGGTAGCTCTGTGTCCATTTCCAAAAGCTCATGGTGATGCCCATGCCAGCGAGTTTAGTCAACAGAATGCCATGATCCACAAGATCGAAGGCTTTTCGGAAGTCTAAAAAGACCACATGCACGCCATTATATAGACTTCCAAAATCTGTAGCGTTATACCAGTCTTGTGTGATGCTGGCAAGCGCAGTCATAGTAGATCTGTCCGCCGTAAAAGCGTGTTGGGAAGCATTAAGACTTAGGTCCTTTAGGTTTAGCTTAAGCTGGATCCTCTCCAGTACCTTGACGACTTGTGGCAAAACTGAAATCTGCCTAAAGTCATTGTTTATATCCGTCGGATATGGTGGTTTCGGCGAGATGCCTTGGCGGCCGTCACCACCAAAAATACAAGGATGTCAAATAGATCAGCAAATACAAAGATGGTGTAAGGATCAGCTGCAGGATAGCATAGCTAATAAAGGAATGGCATGGCCAAATTATAGACAGTCTAGTTTTCCTTCGTGAAACAGAACACCCTAAACATGAATAGTTTAGCCAAATGAGAAACGGTCTAGTAGCCCATGTTGAGTTGGAACATGAGATTGTGAAATGGACTAGCTCAATTACAAATAGCTTAGCACTCATTTGCAATACAGTACTCAAACGGTGTAGCGTTGCGTTAAACGGCTCAGGGTAACGTCGAGTAGCACAGCGTACGCACAACGGTGTAGCGTTGCGTCAAATGGCTCAGCGTAATTTAGAATGGTACAGCGTACACACATGGTGTAGCGCTGCGGGAAATGGCTCAGCGTAATGTCGAATGGTACAGCGTACATAAAAACAGTGTAGCGTTGTGTGAAATGGCTCAGCGTAATGTCGAATGGCACAGCGTACATACAAACAGTGTAGCGTTGCGTGAAATGGCTTAGCGTAATGTCGAATGGTACAGCGTACATACAAACAGTGTAGCGTTGCGTGAAGTGGCTTAGCATAATGTCGAATGGCACAGCGTACACACAAATGGTGTAGCGTTGCGTGAAATGGCTCAGCGTAATGTGGAATGGTAGATCGATGGATCGGTAGATCGATGGATCGGTAGATCGATGGATCGATGGATCGGTAGATCGATGGATCGGTAGATCGATGGATCGATGGATCAGTGGATCAGTAGATCAATGGATCAGTAGATCGATGGATCGCTAGATCAGTAGATCAGTGGATCAGTAGGGTACACTATATCTTCAGAGGGCTACTTTTTGTTGAAAATTTGTCTCCCCACTGAAAGTGAAAATCTAACATTACCAAAAAAGGAAAGCAAAATCTTAAAACGCGCACGAGATATTTCGAAAAAAAGGGGTTTTATATAAAATTTTTATATAAAAGTTAATAGAATATGGATAGGTGCCATATTCCTCACAGTGCCTTGACTCCCGGGCGAACTTTCCGTGCGAAATGTCCTCGTGCAGGGAGCTCTTATTCCGAGAACTCATAAGCATTTCTTTTGGTTACATGCGATTTCACTACGTGGCTCTTCAATTGTCTTTACTTAAAGTTGACTACACTGAGATCATGAAACGAGTTCTAAAGAATAGAGAAAAGTCCTTGCGCAGCGAAAAAATGAACGCAAAAGGGAATGCTAGTTCGACAGTGTCTTGGGTGTTGTTTGGTTTGATCAACCTTCAAACGTGCAACTCGAAGAAAACACGTATAATGAAACTCAACCGTATTTTTCGTCTGCTTATTTTCCCATTGCGATCGCCAGGTGAACTTTATAATTAGGAGAACGTGACTGTCACACCATTGGAATTGCTTGGCTTGGCATGTCATGTTGACATACATCTCAGGTGAAGGCGTGACATGTGTAGAATCGACAGATTTTAATGAAATTTGGCCTGAAAATTCATTAAACATCAAACAATAAAAGCGTGTCGGGGATTAGCTTTAATTTAGATATTTCTCATTTTACGGCCGCAAACGCCACAGGGTCGGCAAATTATCCGCTACAAAAACTTTGCGTGTCTATAAAAAGATAACCAATAAGAAACCAGAGAAATCCTGACACACATTTAGAGACTGATCCTTGCTGATTGATACTGTGCAGTACTTTTGAAGAAGCGATGGTGTTTGATACCTGATTAATTCAGCGGAAAGTCAATCGATCTTTTTCTGTTTACTGGCTTCTAACTTCTTAAAGAAGGCTCTGCATACATAGTGGATATTGTTTTTCGAAATCTGCAGTTCATAACCTTTCTATTGATATATAGTTTGTGGTAGTTAACTTCGAAACAACACGCGTTCGATTTTTTTTCGAAGGACCCGCGAAGGTATTGTGTCAGCTTAACGTGACATAAAGAAGAAAATTCTATGCTTACCTGGGCCGTTTTGCAGTGCAAAACGCGTCTACAACAGTTTTTCTTCAAGTTCGCGACCCAGCCCTCAAGTCACAGAACAGTGTTTTCAAGAACTGACCAATGAATCTCTTGGTAGTTTCAAGAAGGTACAGAAGTCTACGTTCTTCTATAAAGCGCTACCTTTAACCCTTGCTAATTCTGAACATCATCTTGGTGCTCTTAACTTGTCCCTTGAAGATTATAAAGCAAATTTTTTGAAGAAGGATGACCTTCTTCCCTCCTCCCAGAGGGATAAGACGCTCGAAAATCACCCACAGGAAAACGAGCTGAGGGCATACCTCCAACAAGAAGGGGCTCCAATTTTAGATGAGTAATTCTTCTAGTCAGACTGTATCCATTTAGTGCAAAATGTTAGCCCCCTATCCTACCCCCTACCCAGAGTAGACTGCTAGTCAACCTACCAAATGTTGAAAAGGACAAAAGAGTTGCATAGCACTGCTACTTGGGAAAATTAGTGTAGTTTCTCCAAATGATGATTAGGTAAAAGTCAGTTTCAGTTTCAGTTGATTTGCGACAGGGCCACAATACCCGGGCTTGAATGGGTTTTAACAGTTATTGCATTAGTCATTTATAGTACAGCGATCGCTTACTGGCCAGCATTAAGTATGCCTCAAGTATGTCATGATGATTAAAATGTTTGCTATAAGTTGTGCTCCAGTTTTAAGCTATTGATTATCATGGGCTTTAAGATAAAAAATTATACTTTGGTATAAAGCATTTCAGAAATTATTAGCAGAAGAACATGGTTTGATTGCATGATAACAAAAAAATATTAACTTGGCTGTATTCGGAAGGTTTTTAGAAGGTTATTTTTTCCATAGTTTGTGCCACAAGTGTATAATATCCATAAAAGCAACGTTTCAAATATTAATGATAATTCAATAACATTATGCCCCCAAAGCTTGAAATAATTTTTATTAAAATAACGCCAATAAAAGAATTTTGAAATCCTCACTTACTCTTATTCTTCTGCACATGTTTTTGAAATTACATCTAGTAAAACACAGCATTTTTCCAAGATAATTTTAATGTTAACAAATAGAGGATGTTACTAGACTTATTGTCATGAGAGACATGTCATGATTGAATACAATATTTATTTATAATAAATTGTTATTCAATTGATGTTGTAGAAAAACCTTTGTTACAGTTAAGCAGATGGGAGAAACAAAAATAAAGATATCATAGCAAAACAAATTGTAACCAGGTTTACTTAGTCTTCAGTAAATATGTAAGTATCCTCTGCTAATGTTTTGTTCTTCACAAAGAGGCACATAAACTATTCCTCATGTTATCTAAAACCCTGGACAAAACCAGGCAAAACAAAACAAATGTGATTTTTATATACAGAACTTATTGACTACCTGAAAGCAGGATTTGATGGGTAGTTGCAGTAATATTTAATCACCCCATACACATTCAATTATAACAACCAGCATGGGATAATGACTGTGATTCGGTCTGATTGGCATGGTTGATGAGATGCAAATTATTTTATAATAAACAGTTTGCACTTCCTCCCCCCCCCCATGTTTTATAAGCATGTTCATATTGGCATATCAGAAATGCAACTGGTTTAAATCTTGGCATTCCAAATCCAGCAGACTTTAGATCAGTTACAGATGCCACATCTTATCCAAATTTAATTACAAATAGGCTTGGACGTTGAGTTTGTTTCGGTCTTGCAGACTTACTGTGCTACACAGATTCTGTAGGCTGCTTAGTAGGCGTAATGAGGGGTAAAAAGAGGGAGACTGGCAAAGAGGGTGGGGAGCATCTGCTATAAGAAACCCCTTTTCTTCGTTTCTGCAGCCACTAGCAGCTGCAAAATACTGATTCCCCAAACCAACAATTAGTAACACATTAACTAGTATCAAGCTGCATTCTTGCACCTATCCTTTTCACTATATTTCACTAGCTCTTCAAGAAGTGTCCATCTGCTAACACTCTCCAAGCAGGTTCTTTTAAGCAGAAAGTGTTTTCCAGACATACTCTCTGTTGTCATTTCCTGTGCTCGTCGTTTTCTTTTACTTGTTTCGGATGGATAACTATTGTATTCTGCTTTTGCCTTTTTTCCATATGGGTTTTCACACCCAAGACACTGGCAGTAGTCATTACAACCTTTCACACTTTGAAAACACTTGCACCTTTTTTTGAAGTGATCACAAGAGGTGATATTGGATTCTTTGTTTCTTGCGCCTTGACCACAACGACAAGATTCAGGATTGGTAGCTATGCTGCTGACTGAACATGATTGTGTTTCATTGACCACTGAATGGCTTGTACTGTGTGCCACAGCATCATAGTGACCCACACCTGCATGATCAAATGCGACAAAGATTGGTAGGCACTGAAGAGTTTCCCTTGGAGTAACTGGGACAACTGACATATTT